TGCAGCAGTGGCGATTCTTGAAAGTTGGCAACACTGTTTTTCCACCATTTAATCATGTGTCGAACAATCGATTCTCGGCGAGGCAGCTTGCCCACCTACAATCGATATTTTTAACGGATTCAGATGGAGAGGAAAAACAGTGTTCCTAACTAACTTGGATAATAGTGTGCCAGAGTCAACTCTTCTTCCTCCCTCCCTCCCCCCCCCCCCCCCTTTCCCTAACCTCGATCTTATTATGAACCTTAGATGTAAGGGTTTCCCGGTGCGGTGGCGTTTGCGGACGTGGCGTTTGCGGATTCTAAGAATCGGGTGGCGTTTGCGGATTCTCATATTTTGACGGTGGCTATTGCGGACAGGCGGAACAGGGCCGGTGGACTTCGCGGACCAGAGAATTTCGGCGGTGGCGATTGCGGACGGAGGGGTAGGCACCTGCACACACACACATGCTGCCCCCCACCCCTGCGCTGTATATTAAAGAGAAAAATTACCGGAGAGGCTCTTTATTCCTTTTCGTGGATGTAGAAAACATTAGTATTATATTAGTATGTATATTAAAGAGAAAAATTACCGGAGAGGCTCTGGATTCCTTTTCGTGGATGTAGAAAACATTAGTATTATATTAGTATAAAAACATATGAGAATTGAACGTACAGTAAATTTTTAAAAAAAGGCATATCAGAAATCGCAAGAAACTGAAAAATCGTCAGTTTCAGTCCATTTTAAGGATGAAAAACATGTTGTAAATTCTAATCCAAAATTACTGAAAGCTAAAAAATTACATACGAAAAATGGAAACATACATTTTAATTTTTTGACTTTCAGTAATTTTGGACTAGAATTTACAACATGTTTTTCATCCTAAAAATGGACTGAAACTGACGATTTTTCAGTTTCTTGCGATTTCTGATATGCCTTTTTTTAAAAATTTACTGTATGTTCACTGCTCATATGTTTTTATACTAATATAATACTAATGTTTAATACTAATATTTTTTTCATTCTACATCCACGAATAGGAATCCAGAGCCTCTCCAGTAATTTTTCTCTTTAATTTACAGCGCAGGGGTGGGGGGCAGCATATGTAGGTGCCTACCCCTCCGTCCGCAATCGCCACCGCCGAAATTCTCTGGTCCGCAAAGGCCACCGGCCCTGTTCCGCCTGTCCGCAATCGCCACCGTCAAAATATGAGAATCCGCAAACGCCACCCGATTCTTAGAATCCGCAAACGCCACGTCCGCAAACGCCACCGCACCGGGTTTCCCACCATTCAGGATGAGTAGGGGTTTATCTTCTCAGAAAAGGCGAGTGGAAGTTCTTCTGGTTTCACCATACAAATAGATACTTGCCTTAAAATTATTGCAAGAAGTTTGTAATTAATTTTCTACCGATGTGGGGATTAGCTGCTTGCTAGGAACCGCACACCACACGTGTACAACGTGCGTGTTTCCCTCTTCAATTTTCGTCCGTGTATTTTCAAGTCTTTTGATAATTGAATCAGTGAGAATGAAAATACACCAACTCGGTAACTCGAAAATGCTAAACTTCCATTAAAACCAGTTGATTTACAACGCATCTGTTCAAACTTGGACCTTTAAAGTGTTCATAAGTACTAGTCTTTCGGCAGCAAAAATATTTTTCCTAAAGTAACTTCTTCACCTACTGTGCATAGTTTTATATGTGTCTTGATTCTTTTCATTTTTCCGAGTTTGTGTGTTTTCGTTCTCAATGATTCATTTGTATTCTTTGTACTTTTTTGTACTCCTTATTGTACTTTTTTGTACTCCTTTGTACTTTTTTGTCCTCTTCGTACTGTTCTGTATTCTTTGTACTTTTTGTATTCATTGTACTTTTTTGTATTCTCAGTTCTTTTTTGTATTCTTTTACTTTTTTGTACGAGCGTGGGTACCCACTTTTTTACATTCTTTGCACTGTTTTTGGTGTACCTATCTTGATATTTTCTGCACTTCGATGCTTAAAAATATGTCAAGTCGCAACCATACCAACCACTTTCCTCATCACTCAGAGTCCCAAAACAGAGGCCAACTTGTTGTCGACACCGAGTTCACGCTGATATCTCGTTAGGACTACGACAGGGAAGCAGAAAGTTTTTCGGCTGGCGCAGTTTCGAGCAACCAAGATTTGAGATGTTGCATGTGTGAGGAATTTGCGATTTGACTGTTGATTTTTATGTAAGAAAACACCATGGTGCTACTAGTTTTTTTCTGAAATCAACTCCCAAGCTCAACAAAAGCCCTCAAGTTGTGAGGCCATAATGGAGGGGATATCCACCCTACCCCGAGAGTCCGCCTCTACATCAAAACAAACTCTCCATGCAAAGATAGGGAGCGAACACATTAGCAGGGTTGCCGTGTTTTCACTTTGCTGTTTTCGAGTCCCCAAATAAAGTGGCAGCCCTGTCAATGTAATTGCTCCCTATCTTTGCATGGAGAGTTTGTCATGCTGTAGACATGGACTCTCAGGGTAGGGTGGGAGATATCCCCTCTATTTTGGTCTCAACTTGAGAGCTTTTTTTGAGCTTGGGAGTTGATTTCAGAGAAAACCAGTGGCACCATCGTGTTTCTCACGAACTTTGACCTCAGAATGAACAGTCCAATCGCAAATTCCTCACACATGCAACATCTCCATTCAGCCTGCCCACAATATGACATCGCGTGTTCACAGTGATTCGACGTACTTCCACCAATCAGAACTATGTGCAGGTGGAAAGAAAGGGTTTGTCAAAGCCGTGGCGTCCTATGCTGCCACGTGCTAAGGACAGAAGGAAAAACGCCGCATGAACATTCGAGAGTCGACAAATTTCTCCGGATATAACATGTGTATTTTTGAGGGAAGTTCTGCATATATTTCCGTGAAATTTTCAGATATGTTGGATTGAATTGCGAACGTAAGTATCTGAAAAGGTTTGAAAAAAAATATTCGCAATTGGTCTTGTAAATTTGGTTTTGTGTAAAGGAAGTCTGGCAACGTCTGAAGGCTCATACGGCGTTTTTCCTTAGCATGGGTAGTGTGTGCTAGTAGAGCGGCTGCCCCAGGTGCTGAAGAGAGGGAGGGGCGGGGGGCGCCCTAAAGTCTATAAGGAAAAAGAGCGGGAGCAAACGATGAAGAGGTAAAAAACGCTCTTTAAATTCAAGATTTACTCCGACCCCCCTCCCCTCCTGCCCTCAGGGGGAGGACGTCTCTGCCCTGGGTGTGCCCGCTAGAGGACCGTAAGAATGAGTGGGAATTATAGAGCGGTAGTGACGTCAACGGCGACGACAGAGTCGAAGGGCGACGATCCGAGGCATTAACTCATGAGCCCTGTCCGCAACGCTCTATACACATGCCCACGGCTCATGAATCCCGCATGCAATTTGACACACACTTCCGTTTGGCAGAATGTAAAATCCTGCTTTTTCAATTCAGCAAACTGATCTATTCTAAGTAAGTGGCAACTGTGTGCGGGATTCATGAGCCGTAGGAATGTGTCTAGAGCGTTGCGGACAGGGCTCATGAGTTAATGTAATGCCTCGGATCGTCTCCCTTTGGCTCGGTCGTCGCCACTGACGTCATCAGCGCTTTATAATCTCATTCATTCCTACGGCGGCCCTCGCGTAACGAGCACACCCCATCTTTCCCACCTTTACATATAGTTCCGCTCGGTAGAAAATACGTCCAATTCTCAACAAAAATTACAAATATTTTTTCATAAATTGGACGTGGTCCCACCAATTTTGTTCTAACTCGACGCTTTCACGGGAAATGTTTAAAGAATTTACTGTCTGCCCAGTACCTAATTTTTTTTCACGAATTCAACACTCCAGCGGTAATTCCCCAAGTAATTCGACTCTTCCCGCGTAATCTTTCCTAAATTTCAACGCTATCGCACTAGTGTTACAGTAATCAGTGCGTTCTGACCAATTTTCACTACTAATCAAAATCATCGTCATAAGTTTTCGTAGAAATCAGTGAGTCGAGCGTGTTCTATCTTTCGATGACAAAGAAAACCATTCTCTCCTCAATTTTGTGGATTTGCAATTTCATCAGCCGCTAAGTCGGGATAGTTGTATCGCATGTATCGCTCCTATCGCCCCATCCAGCTTTTCCACTTCGTCTCAGTCTCCGAGTCAGTCGAAAACAGATTCTCCTTCTTTTTGTGGGTATGCAAACTTACCTACTTGCAAGTCGAAATAGTTGTATCACGTGCTGCGCCCCATCCAACTTTTCTACTCCCGCGTCAAAGTCGCCGAGTCAGTGAAGAAGAGACCAAGTTCTTTGTATTGGTCATGGATCTGGTAGAGAGTTTTGATGCCTAATACCTAATGGGACTGGATATTGTGAAAACTGATCTCATGTTCCAGAAGACGATGTCCAAAACTTGGTATTTTTTTTCAACCATTAAGTATTAAAGGTTGCAGTCCACGATTGCGTCAGGGTGCCGGCGGTCTGGAAAACCGAGACAGTCAGGGAATTGGCGGCCACCGGGAAAATTCAGGGAGTTATGTTTGCTCTTTCTGATCATTCTTAAGGCTATCCCCCAATCAGCTAGGTACTGACCACCTTTTTCTTTAATTTGACATTTTGTGCAAGGATATACCATTCAAATTATTTTTGTTAAGAAGAAAAGAAAAAAAAAAGAAATTTGAAAGAAAGGGTAGGGAAAGTCAGTTTTGGAGTCTGAAAGTTAGGAAAGTCAGCTAATCCGAAGACGAAAAAATTACGGCAAGCCTGATTTTTTAGCAACTTTTTGACTTGCACAAGGTGAGGTCGGGTAACTGGGCGAAGGGGTAACTGGACTATACCCTCGGTATTTTTACTACACTGACATAAATTCTATTCCAATGAAAAGATGCAAGTGAGGATTCCGGGAGTTCGCAGCAAGGTCGTAAATTAAAATGCATCGTCCTAGAGTAGATGAATAATTGAAGAAAGAAGTTTCCTACAGTATCTGCTACAAAGATCTTGGTTTATTCTACTTTCTCAGGTGTTTGCTCACGTTTCAGAATGGCGATGATGGTGTCAGTGTCAGCTACTGTCGGCTACAGGATGAGAATAAGGTATTCACTATGGGAGATCCCCCAGATAACAAACTATCGGATCAAATGCACAATCGAGCAATCATTTTACCATTGTGTGTCGACCTGGTTGGAGCCTTCAACAATTGTTAAAGCCTTCTGTCATAGAGTAAGTATTAGTTTTTCCTTATCAGAAATTTCTCTGAATATGAATATTTATATCGATGGTGCAAGTCGGCAATCACATAACTCGGTTTGCGACGTCGCAGACTTCCTGCCATACTTTATTTTTTACACCGAAAACTGCTCAACGGATTTTCTTCAAAACTGCTGTGATTATTCCTCTCTGTGCAAAGAAAATTCTGCACCAACACCAAGGAATTATGTCAATTTGTTCTCCTTTAAAAAAATAACATAGAGGCGGAGATTTTCAGACACCGCAAACGAGTTATGTGATTGCCGACTTACACCGTCGATATAAGGTTCGCCAGGTCACAACATAATTTGAAGAACTGAATGTAGCATTATCTGTGCGGCAATGATGGCAACGCTTTTTCTATTTTCTCAGGTGTTTCTTCACGTTTCAAAATGGCAATGATGGTGTTGGTGTCAGCTACAAGATGAGGCATTTACTACTAGAGATTCTTTAGATAGGAAACTACAGGATCATATGCAGGACCGAGCTATCATTTTACAGTTGAATATCGACCTGGTATCCAGCTCCCAACAATTGTTGAAGGTTCCAGTCTTTGAGTAAGTTTGAGTTTTCACCTCTCGTGAGAAATCTCCCGGAGTCCGGACAAAATAAAATTTAGTTTATGGCCTTACATTATTTGAACTGGAGAAAACCTTTTTTTTTGCAGCTTAAGTAATGTTTCCGAACCTTGCAAGATTGCCTAAGGTGGGTGTAGCTAGTGTAGCTCTGGGCTAAGTGCTCATGCTCATACTTAAGAAAAGTTTGATGAAAGTCTTGTCCAAACCTGTTAAAATTTTTGTTTATAAAGGCATCAATAGATAAAAGAAACAAGCAGTCGGAAGTAACAGCCAAGTCTTAATCATTCTGTGGGTGGAATAATGGGCATTAAAACAGACTTTCTTCATGATAGGTTTGAACTTAGTCAGTTAAAGTCGTTAGCAATGGACAAGAGTCAATGCATTGAGCCAGATTCTCGTGAAAAATTTGTCTTGACCTCTGGGATAGGGCAGACCGTGGCTAATCGCGGCCTCTATGAAAATTTCCTTAATCCTAATTTTTCTATTCGGTGATTTTTTGCCGAGCAGCATGGAATTGAAGTATCTTGTAAGACAATTGGCTGCACTTGCCACTTACAAATTTTGCCACGAATCCAGAATCCGTGTTGAAGGTAGATAGTAATTATCTGTCCGTAAAATGGACTGATACAGTGGTGATGTCTTTCAATTCATCACCTTAAAAGTGCGCTGCCTAACAAATGCGTGAACGCGATTGCCTTGAGAGCAGTCCATGTTGTCTGGGTGGATCTGTCAATTGCTGAGTCTCCAAGTCTGCCAGTTCTGCCCAACTCCGCTGAGTTTGTGCCTTTAGGTAGCTGTCAATCACCTTGGACCTTATTTCCATCCTTTGATACTCGGTTTTTGTCTCTGAAGTTCTTGGATTGCTTCAAACGGTATCATTAAGAAGTTACAAAAAATCCGCCAAGGTTGAACAAAGCATAAACTTACGAAGGGCCAAAGCCTCATTCATTATTTAAATCTAGAGTATTATTATTAGTGTTTGCGTGTCACAATTTCTGTCCTCAAGTTCTGTCAGGGTCGGATCGTCTTTCTTTCCCCCTTTGCCTTGAGATGCCATTTCTTTCCCCTCTTGAGATGAGTGACTCGGGAAAAATAGACCAATATGTTGTAGTATACATTTTTCAAGCTTCTCTTGAAGTTCTAATCGCTATAAAACTTACAGCTTGTTGAAAGTTGTTCAGAACTTATTGTTCGAATGCATTTTCTCATTGGAGCGTATTTCAAATTGCTTTTTCTAACACTTATTTTCTTTCGCTGACTCTCACGAAAAGGGCTTAAGTTCTTAGGCATCAATATCTATTTAAAATGCATGTTTTTAAATCTGAAAGTAGATGAGGAAGGTATATTCGAAGAATGAATTTGACTAACAGTGTCTTTCCAAGCCAGTTCTACAACTTTTCACTCTTTTAATAGTGTCTTGTATTTTTTTGCCCCTCTCAGGAACCGAAGTCCCTCCTAATTGAAGAAGATAGTTCACAAGTTGCTGTGCTCCAAGCAGTGATTGGAAGCTCCATGCCTTATGCCTCGAGAAGATAGTTCACAAGTCATTGTGCCCCAAGCAGTGATTGGGAGCTCCATGCCTCATGCCTCGAGCCAGCTATTGCAAATCTACTGTTCAGAATTTTTCTGTCGCTGCACTAAGCAATATTGTTCAATTTACTCAGCCACTTCATGTGTATACCTTTACGATTCTTTAATGCAATGGGCCAACTTGTCGGCATGAAGTATCAAGTCTCATTTTTACCAACAGGTCAGCAGCTCTCTAGGTGAGGGTCATACCTTCTCGAAAATTTAAACGTGTATTACTCTTAAAGTTGTAATTAAAAAAAAAAGGTAGAAAACCTATCAGCTTTTCTCTAAAATTCAAAATTTCTTTTTGCTCCAGGTACTCTAACATTAACTTTGCTGCTGTACAGCTTCAAATTAGCGAGTTAAATGAGGTTTCTTACCAAGTAATGAGAAGCACGACAACAAGAGGCTTACTTCACGAGCTTATATTACGGCAATTAAATATTAGTCAAAAGTTTTAATTGATCTAGATTATGGGGGTTTTTCGAAATGAATGTGAAAAAGACTTTGAATTATTTTTCTACCATGCAAAAGCGTTCCCTTAAATATGGTTATCAAGATGTTTGCCTTTTTATTTTGAAAATCGAAGGGACAAGACTCTTTTTAACATTTATAACTAATTTTTTTTACGTACAAGTTGCTTTCCAATATTGCTTAAAACATCTTCTACCTATTTTCCTCAACTCTTTGATCCCCAGTTAATCTTCTAAATATTTGATATTACCTGTCCACTGTGAATGTTCCTATAGTAATTTTTCTCAACTTGTAGACGCATTAGTACTTCTGTGTTCATTCGGCTACCTACCACATTAGTTTTTAAGTTCTCATATCATTTACAGTCTGCATGAAGGTTACATGCATGTTCGACTTATGTACATTTGGCACTGCCCTCTGGAATTATTAAGATTAAATGTTTACCATATTCACAGACTTCTCATTGTTATTTCATTCAGTCTATTATATGAATTTAAAGTTGAACTTATTTTTATTGGGCTGCATTATGTTGATGAAATTACCTTTCTCCCGATCACTTTTTATCCAGTTTTCAGACGATAGCTATTTCGATGTTAATCATAATCATCAGGTCACCTCGACTTCGATTTGGTAAAGTGATTGGGAGAAAGGTAATTTCATCAAATATTATATGAATGTCTAAGAGGTGGATGGCTTTACTCTCAATTATTTTGTATTATAATACTTAACAGTGAATACCTAAGAAGAAAAGTTATCTTGTGCATCTCGCTCAGGTGATGTCTCAGTAGTTTTCAAAGTTATCGGACGGATCTTCAAGGATTTTTGTCCATTTTCAGATCCATGGTATTCTTTTTCTTAAATCCGGTCCAGGAAAAACACTAAGTCAACCTGTCACTTAGTTCAGGAGGCGTAATCTAACTGCACCCATAAATATAAATGACCATTTTCAGATCTGTTCGGTTAGTTGTGCTAGTGACAGCAGAACTGGAGTTGCAACAAACAAGGGATATTCAAACACCTTGGTTTGACTACTCATAATAATGGTGGTCACAAACATGGTGTTCGACATCTCTCACAGTGGTAGTGTGCACACCATTGGTTTCCATCCATCAGTAACCTGCACAGCAGCCCGATTGTTGAAATTTTTGTTTGTCGGGGCGACATTGATTACATAAGTTAAAAGGCGGAGCATGATCGGTCGGCTATGTCTTATCGCCGCTTTGTCAGGTGGAATGGACAACATACTGTCTGAAACCTTAAAGGTGCCGATAGTTTGTCGTGAGTTCAACCTGATGTAGGGACGTCAAAGCAGCGAGAAGACATAGCCGACCAATCACGCTCCGCCTTTTAAGCTATGTCATCTATGTCGTCCCGACAAACAAAAAATTTCAACTATCAGGCTGCAGGTGAATTGGTGCCTAGACGCACAATATGGATGAAACCCATTGTGTCCACCACCATTGTGAACACTGTCATGCGAAGATTTGGTGATCGGCCAGATCTTATTAAATATTGCTGAATATCTTGCTCAAACCATCAATACATGATTCTGCAATTACCTGGCACATCTGACCCTATCTTTTCGCCTCTATAACAGATGCATCAGTCTCTTGCGTAAACTACTTATGTAAAAGTTGAAATTTAAATTTGTGCTCAGAGGAGCACGAAACAGTTACAACGCAGGGAATCAAGAGCAACAGCTACTTGGAATTGCCATGAGTCTGAGAGGCTTTAGTGATCACAATTTGATTGTCAGAAAAAATAACGTTTAAGTGTATCCCATATGGATTCAGGCTTCGCAACTTCAATTGCTGTTGCCTTAATAATTCTATGGTCAGTTAGCAAGGTCACTTATGAAATCAGAAGTCAAATATGGCTAAAACTAACTCTTTCATGAGACCTTGCCCAACTCCTAGGCATCCTATATATTGATCAGTTGAGTTTTTCTGAGAAAATTGTTCAGATCTCCTACTACTTGAGGCTGCACTTATAAGGAAGCACTTACAACACAGTTTTAAAAAACAGTTCCTCTACTATTGATATGATAGTTGCACACCGCAGTGGAATTCAAAGATTATCTGTAGACCTAAATCCACGATCAGCCTGAGCTTAAGTTAGTGTCAGTTTGGCATTTGCTTTATAATCGAATTTCTAAAATTTGATGGGTTTCAATTGACTAGTAGTTGACTAGAAGAAGGGTGAGAAAACAAAGGGAATTCATCTATATTTCTGAGGATTTGGCAGCCCGCTAAATCCTGTCATTAGCGAAGCAACAAACTCATCAAACTGATGCCAAACTTTAGCTCAGTCTGATAGTCTATTTAGGCATGACGAATGAACTACTAAGCATTGGTTTTTTGTTCCTATCAGTACCTCATAATAGGCGAGAGGATAGGGAATATACGTGATTCTTGAGGATAATTCTGCCCACTGGTGAATTTTCAAGTTATGATGTGATGACCACATTTGCAGGATGTACTTCGATGTGCAGTTCAAAAGGTGAACTTCTTGAATATGTTCTCAAGTAAATTTTCTTTTCTTAAGGTCTCATATATAATAGATGATCAAGGAAAAAATTTTCTTATTCTCAATGATATTTTTTATTTCACTGACAACCATTTAGCAAAAACCAACGGACAAAACCTTTGGTCACAATCATTACATGCTGAATCACAGAAGGCCATTAACTGCGTTGATGCAGAAAGAGAGGCTCACTGATGGTACCACTGGAGTATTTTCTCTTTGGTCACAATCATTACATGCTGAATCACAGAAGGCCATTAACTGCGTTGATGCAGAAAGAGAGGCTCACTGATGGTACCACTGGAGTATTTTCTCCTCCAAGGGTTGGGACTTACTGAGGCCCATCATAAAATGAGAGAACTTGTCCCTTGCGTCAAGGTAGCTAATAATGGTGTATTAATAGGTAAGTTGTACAATATTCCATTACTGAATAGAGGGCAAGTACACAGTAAAGAGTAACAGTGGTAGATCTACCCATTCTACCGCCCTCTCCCTCAGGGGATGACATCTGATAGGGGTACTAGTGCTAAAAAATGCAGAACTAGTTGTTGACAGTATGAATCTAATTCTCAACAAGAGGAATTATCCTTTCCGCACTTGCAAGCTGAATTGCTTTTCAACACGAGTGTAAGTGTATGGAGGGCTGGGGCCTGTCAAAATTAGTGGAAATTCTGAGTTGGGTATTTGTCAATTACATAAAGTTATTGTCTCGGGGTATGCACTATAAAACTGATCACCAAGTTAGTTTGATCATCCTATAATATGAACCAGCTCATCTGTGTGCTGCCAAAGGCTCTTGCCTCTAAGGGAAGTTTCCATGAGATTAGTTGCAGGGTCGCATTCGGAGGCAAATCAAATCACCGAAGTTAATGAATTGGGAGTCAGAACTAAAGCTGTGACCAAGGAAAAGGAAGCCTCTTCAACATGACAACTATTCGCTGATATCCAGACTTCATTTTGAAACTATTTGGCTGCAAATCGCATATTCTAAGGAGCCCAGCATCCTGTGAGGAGGCAAAATTGATCATTTATGTTTCGCTAATTAGCAGGATTTATATTGCTATAATTTCACTTCACAGCAATCCGGCTTGTTGGAATCAAAAATCATGTGACAAGGCACTCTGATACAAAGCTCTTTTACCGGATATAAGCTTCATGCCTAGTAGCAGAACAAATTTTTGTTTTCCCCAAAAAAGTATAAAAAAACATACCTGTTATCTAAATGATCGTTTAATATGAAAAATGTGTGACGCTTATGCAAGAAAAAATCGAAGTTCAGACCTGACCGTAATATATGAAAAATGATAAAAGCTAGATAAGGTCCTTTTTTTTTATACATAAATGTTTTATTTTTTATATAACGCATGCATACGAAAGTGTTAAAAGTGAAAATTTTTATGTAACTATTATATAAAAAATAGGTCATCATTTTCGTGAGCTTTTCGCGAATCAGAAGAATTTTTAGTATGTTCGCGAAAAGCTCACGAAAATTATGACTTTTTTCTTATATAATGGTTACCTAAAAATGTTCACTATTAACACTTTAGTATGCATGGATTATATAAAAAAATTAACTTCCGTACATAATATTTATCTTTTCCTTCTATGGTTCTGCTACTAGGGATCATCTCTGAGGAATTCAAATAGGAGCAACCAGAGCTGTAGAATCAGGAAGTTTCTAATTCCTCATCTTCATGGTTCTTCTTCTTGGTCTTAAACTCAATTATGTGATCGTAATCTTCAGTGCAAGTATAAATTGTTTCTATGATTTCCTTATTTGATAGGGTTCGTCGTATATTTGGAAGAGACACTGCTATTTCAATGGCTTCTTTTTTCGTTAGCCGTTGTAACTCTGAGTACTTGATTGAATATTCATGTTTCACAGCACTGTTCACCTGAAAAAATAAGTTTCCAATAGTGAAAACATCCAAGCAAGAATGATTTGAAAGGATGTGGAGAACTGGAGAATTGTTTATTACAGTTCACCGTATTATCTACTTTGAGCATGTCAACATCTAAAAGAACAGATCACAGTTTAAAATAGACTACAGTGTTGACATCATGAGTGCTACCTTGCTGGGTTGAAGCAGATGTATCAAATTTTGCTTTCAGACTATTTCGAAGCTTTTTGCTGAGCAGTTTTAAGAGCAACAATATGAAAATCAGCTTGTTTAGAAACTTGATAAATGTGAGAATGAGATCTTAAAAGTTGGTAGTAACCTCTGGAAGTGGTGTGATATTCATAAGATCTGTGAAAGGTGGTTCTAAGACTTCAAAGGGACTGAATGTCAGGATGACCTGGCTTTGCTGTTACAACCTTAACAGAGCACTCAACAAGGTATGAATGTAAGCATTCTGATGCATATTTTCTCTTCAAAATTTCACGAAAGCACGATTTGCACAGTGACAGTTATGGAAAAGAACTCCCAACCAACCAACCTTCATATTGAACAATGGTTTTGAAAAATATCATTACCCTCTTAAATGAAAAACTAAAATCAAATCGCACACTAACAGCGTTTTGGTAGGCTTCTCAATAGAGTCGTGTTCTTTCCCTGCTCAGTATTGTTCCAAATGTACCCATAACTGGCAATAGCTGTATTCAGATCAGATTATCACATTTTCATACCACAGAGACAACCACCGTAACGTTAAGTATACAATTTAACTAAAGTAGATCATTATTTATTTTTTCTAGGTGTGGGAAGTTGAAAAACGTTAATTCCTTGGTAGGGAGCTACTTTCAGTAATTTTCGTTGAACAAATCGTGTTAAACATGAAAACATGTATCATAGTGCCTAAGTTTACACCTCCTCTAGTAGTTATTAAAGCTGATAGTTGACATTCGCACTATGATAATGCTTGATAGCAAGTGAGTGAGAGATGTTGCCACGATACTCTGCTCATTGATCAGCAATGCTCCTGAACTTCCATGACCATTTGAGTCATTCAAATTTTTGTGCTATGTGAGTTCTGCGGCAGGTTAATCCAACTCTTTAAATTTTTTGCTTGTTATTAATAAATGAAAATTTTACAGCATTGATAGTATAATCAAACAAAATTTAAATCACGATTTTATCAAGTTCTCAGGCTTAAAATATTTAATTGTTTGACATAAAACGCTTTGATACTTGGCGAAATTGTTGTGTCCCGTATTAGACGAGTTAAAACCTTATTGAGTGACAAGAAACTATGAATAACTCATGTTAGCTCCTCCTCTGTAATAATGAGACTCATGGAAAAATGTTAGTTGCTGTACCTTTACAATGAGACTCAAAGGGAAATCCTCATCCATGACTGGCCACCGCTGTTCAAAAACTGTAGCAGACCAGTTGTACTCGTGTTCGTTTAGCTTCTCAGGGACCGAGGAAATCCCTTCCCACAGCTGCGCAGCAAAGTGAGGAGCCATTGGAGCTGTGACAATTATCATGTCTGCAAGCGTTCGCTCATAGATTTTACTGAAATGGATAGTGGAGGAGGCACATTTCTAAAAAGAAAATCAAAAGGAATTTGTCTGCTTGAAGTTCAAGATTTTTTTTTAAACAAAATAGATAAAAACAGGGATGAAGTCTATAAGAATAGACAAAATATAAATATTTAATAGTGTTTGTCAAGCCTCTCTCAATCTCTAGAGTCTCAAGAATATTGGGTTGCATTTGATTTAAACCATAATAGTTCAGCTCAACAATTTTTTACTTTTTAGTTCTTTGCTGTCTTCAACATAATGCTTTATTTCATTAGACTATTAAAACAAATAATCAGAGGGATAAAAAGGATGAATTTAATAATATTTAAGTGCAGTACTAATAAATCAGCACTCCCACGGTGTAAGTCAGCGATCACATAACTTGTTTGCAGTGTCTGAAAATCTCCGCCTCCATGTTATTTTTTTTAAGGAGAACAAATTGACATCATTCCTTGAAGTTTTTTTTCGGAATTTTCTTCTCATAGAGGAGAAAAATCACAGCAGTTTTAAAGAATAGCCATTGAGTAGTTTTCCGTTTAAAAAATAAAGTATGACAGGAAGTCTACGACATCGCAAACCAAGTTATGTGATTGCCGACTTACACGTCTAAAATATAGTCTAGGTACTAATGTAGCAAATGGCTAATCTACTTTTTTTTTTCTATTAAAACAAGTAATGAACAAGTATTTTTTTCTTAACGTTGGAGGCACGACATTTTGAGAAAAATTTTAAGACATTATTGACAGACTACTTCCTAAATGATGAATCATAGAGTTTAAACATTTCGATTATTTTTGTAAATACTAAATATTTCAGAACAGTTGGAAAAACAGTTTTTTTTCTCTTTTTACATGATTGAAAATAAATTACTTCACTGCACATGTTTCCTGTATCACCCAGACTGGTGGCTAGATATCAGAACCAAATTTTTACAGATATAGATCCCTTACTAAATATGTTAGACATGCAAAGAATTCGATTTTTCCCAAATGGTTAGTCACGTTTTTAGGCATAGAGAAGATACAGAAGGTAGTGGCAAGCGGCAAAATGTACTTTTCTATGTTACAGCTAAAACTAAAGCAGCCCTTCTGATTGGTCAATAGGATTGCGGGAAAACCAAGACCTCTGTGAAATTTAAAAAGGAGCGGAAAGGTTGTAAGGATCCCCCTTATTTTGGCTCTAAAAACTCGTCACTATGACTTTTTATGTTTCAATATGTTTTTCTATCAATGTTCGACTGTAACTGAAAATAATTTGTAAGTTAAAAATATATATTTCATATAATAACAACTTTTACCTCAACTCGTCCCGTTTTGAAGGTAAAACCATGTTAAATTACGTTCTGTGCGTCCAAAAAGCAGAAATTGGAGAGTCATGGTAACTAATATATGACTTTCAATGTTAGTTTGAGTGGTGATGTAGATCTTCATACAGGTTCCATCATGTAATGCATGAAATGTACTTTCTTTTGAACAGCGCGCCAGTCGATGTACTTTTGTATGTCACAGCAAATCTTTAAGATGGCTGCCTTGCCACCACCTTCTGTATTTTGTCTATGGTTTTTAGGCTCTTAATCACAGATAAGTGAAAAAAACAACAAAGCGGCACTGGTCCAAAGACGCACGTTGTGGATCTTCAGATCAAAGTCGTATGATATCATGATGTCAGCTTGGTTCTGACCATATGATCACAAACAGTTATATATATATAGCTCGGAGCTTATAGTATAGATATATAAACGTGACCTTACCCTCAAGGTAGTGGACATTGTGTAAAGTCTTGAGATAACTGTGTTAAGTAAATAAGCTTCAGAGTAATTGAATCCTACAGATTTGATGAACTTGTTCCGGTCATGATACAGCATTTCCTCATCTTGTGTAAGTCGGTCTGGATCAATGTAATTCACTGGTTCGTTCATATGACGACGACTTATAAAATATTTAACTATTTGCCAGACTTTACTTTGCCAGTTCAGAACTCCTCTAAACGCTGAAACAAGAGTACAAGATGGGTTTAGGAGCAAAAATTTAGAGTCTCATTGTTAGTAACATAAAATCAATTTACGCAAAATGCTTGTGTTCTTAGAAAAATTAGGTTTAGTGACATAAACAACAGCATAGGGTACATTTCTTACATGATCAATTTTGTTAAAGTCCGCAACTCTAATGATGAAAAATCACCAGACACGAGAAGGTTGGTGATGAGTCACTAGCGGTTTGGACCAAAATTTACGTAGTAAAAATCATTTGATTTTTCATCTCCTATGAATCATTTTTTGGAGAGTGAATTGTTATTTTTCGTTAAAATTTATTTAATTTTTTTCCATTTTAAATGCTGAAAAATTTACGACTCAAAATGGCTACCCTTATAAGTGAGGATAATTCAAGAAAAGAGAGAAAAGAGATCATGATCTTTTTTCTTGAATGATCATTTTATCCGGAAATTGCACAGATGTACTGGAATCAGCGTAACTGCATTTTGTATTGCCTAATTTCCTCTTAAGTTCTACTTTATGATTACTTTCTTGTTAAAAAAAGAAAGGAAATGGGGCAACTTTTCGGATGATTCCGATTGAATCCATCCAATGATTACGATGGTGTTTAATAACATGGTGTTGAGATGATTTTCTCCAGTGTTACCATGCTCCTTATTCTCAATCTCTTTCTACCTTGAATATCCTCTCTCTTCCCGTGTATTGATGATACCAGTCAATCTGCGGTACGTTATTAGAGCCCTCAGAGTTGATAACCTTCTTTCATTTTGTGCTATCTTGATGACAGCACAATGGATGAAATTTATATGAGTGCATCAAATGCAGTTGATAACCGGACTACTATTACTGCATTGGTTCACTTCTGCTAAATTCGATCCAAAAGACCAAAGATATTATAACAGTTAGATATGCAGCTAGGGCGGGGTAACCTGGACCTGCTAGGGGGTACATGCGCCTGGCAGATAGGCAGCGCGTTTTATGCAGAGGCGAATTCTCCTATGGGAGAGATCACCTCTGCGTAAAACACGCTGCCCATCCGCCAGGCGCATGTACCCCCTAACAGGTCCAGATACCCTGCCCTAGGTAAGCCTGTACCGCATATCTAACCGTTACAATATCTTTGCCAAAACACAACAGAGAAACTGCATAAATGCGTATTTTGGTTGCAGTAGTTCAAAATTCCAACTCCTCCTTCAAATCTTCAAAGGAAATTGAGACAAAATCATGGCTTGAAATTTTTGCAGAATATTTTTCAAACAGCAGCCTGATATTCGAAATTTTTTGTTTGTCGGTGCGACATAGATGACATAGGTTAAAAGGCGGAGCGTGATTGGTCGGCTATGTCTTATCGCTGCTTTTTTGTGCCTTTGTTAGGTGGAATGGATGACATACTGTTGGAAACTTAAGAGAAGCCGTTAGCTTATCGTGAGTTCAACCCGACATAGGCACAACAAAGCAGCGATAAGACATAGCCGACCAATCACGCTCCGCCTTTTAACCTATGTCATCTATGTCGTCCCGACAAACAAAAAATTTCAAAGAAAAGTCACTATGGTTTTCAAGAAATGGCGATGGGTGGTTTTCAAAATGGTTAGAAATTAAAGTATGACCGTAAGTCAACAATGCTGCAAATCTTAATACCCATTTCTGGAGTTTCACCATTGATGAAGAGTATCATAGATAAAGGAGTTAAGTGAATATTTTATGAAAATGAATTTATTGACTATCTCCGGTAATAAGTCTCTCGCATTATAGGTACTACTTGGTGGAAGAATAAACTTCTGAACTTACTTTTTTGAGGCAACATTTGAGTTTCAAAATTTAAAATTATGTCATAAGTTCCCATTTAATTTTTCAACTTGAATCACGTTCTTTTCAAGATCACAAAAACGTCACTTAACCTTAGAATCAGGGATAATGTCCTTCATACTCTCAATACAGGATACAAATTAAGTCTAGAGCCAGAATTTGAGAAACCAGTTTGACTTGGAAGTTGCTGATGTGTTCTCCATGTGGATTGAAGTCCTTACACTTATGTACAGCATTTTCACAGAAATTTCAAGAAGCATCTGAAAATTTGGCCCTTAATTTAATGCGAAAATTGTTTATTCCTTTCCGATATAAGAAGACAAAAAAATCACATACTCTGTGGGTCCCATTTTTTGTCGCTAGCTGGGGTCATTTGATCAAGAACCAGTAACCTTGTCGTGTCAACTCCATATTCTGCCAGAACAGCCTCTGGGTCTACCCCATTGCCTTTGGATTTGCTCATTTTTTCCCATTCTATGAGAACTTTTTCTCCTGTTTCCTTGTGCAAACCATGCGCCGGTCCTATTTCCGCAAACAATTCATTTCAAATTAATACAGGCTGAAAGACAGGGGCTTGACTTGAAGAAAAACACATTACAACAGCATAAGTCTGCAATCACACATCTTGTTTGTGGTGTCTGAAAATCTCCGCCTCTACGTTATTTTTTTAAAGAAGAACAAATTCACACCATCCCTCAAAGTTTTTGCAGAATTATCATCGCACAGAGCAGAAAAATCACGGCAGTTTTAAAAAATTGCTGTTGAGTAGTTGTTCGTTTAAAAAATTAAGTATGACAGGAAGTCTGCGACATCCCAAACCGAGTTATGTGATGGCCGACTTACACTGTTGGTATGTACTACGCAATAGAATTCACTTAGATGTTTAAAAATTAAGACAGATTGAAAATAATCATTGAAGTATTCTACAAAACATTATCGAAGGATCAACCAAAAAGTTAAGACTCAGAAATTTTCTACATACTTCAGTCTTGAAATAAGCAATAAAATGCCTGATTTTTTCCTTCTAGAGAAAGATTTGGCCCAGCTATTTAGCTGAAGACTCAAAAATTCAAACACCTTTACTTCCTCTTACAACTTGACAAACATGAGGAAGTTGAACAGACTAATATGCAACATTCACCTGACTCTTGCTCAGAACAAAAACCGGAGGTCTTCTCCCACTCTTTTCAGAGATCTTAAGAGTGTTGCACAAATTCTCATCTATTAATTTGAAAAAAGTACTAACAAAAGAAGAGACAAAAATTTTACTGTTTTTCATCCAATCAAATTTTAGACATGAAAACCACTTTCAAAGTCATCATAAATTAAGGCACATTTTGAGCCGAAAAATAATGGGCCTTATGATTTTGTAATGTTACCCCTACAATGAGCTGCAAGACGTGCACTAGATTTTTAGCAATATGTTACATGTTTTTTCATCAAAATTTCACTGAGAACATGATTTGTGCGACAAAAATTATTGAGAGTGACTCCTGGTCAAAATATTAACGTTATTCAATGCATAAATTCAAACTTTCCTGTCATAAAAACCTTAATCTACCTGAGTTGAATGACGCAATAAACTTACCCGTAACATTCTCTGCAATTTGAAAAAAATGGCAACCTCAATCTTGGCGTTTCCACAGAGCTTTCGAACATGTTTACACGTTGAACAACACAGGGTAAGGAAGGGACACTACTTGATTAAAAAGCTAACCAAAACTATTGTGGCACACAATTTGATTCATGTAAACTCTGGTTTTTCTTGTGAGCAGGACATAAAATTTTTTTTTTAAACCAGTGTTACATAAAGATGTTGATACTTTGATCAAGAGTTGATTTCAATAATTTTTGTGGCACGAATTGTATATTATGTAACATTTTTAAAACGGCACATACATTACAATAGACCACTTAAACTTGTACCTTGTCTTAAGGACCATTGACAGACCATTGACCATTGGCACATTGACCATTGACCTTGTTTTTTTCAACAGTTGTTTAAATTCTAGAGCAAACTGCCATTTGAAGTTATGTGATACTCTTGCCATGCAGACATAAGATCTATGTTGGTCAAAGCTATGGTCTAATGCTACTGATGCCATTAAAGCTGGGCACTTACCCAGTAAAAACAATTCTACACTCCTCATTAGATTCTTTTGACTTATCAATAACTTCTCAAGCTTGGAAAAGCATTTTTCAGTGAACTTTACACAAGAACATAACACCTAGGAAATTCCTTGATTACACATTGCTTTACTACATTAGAGCGCATCTGAATCAAAAGGGACTGTATCCATTCTGACATGAGCCCTGTGGTCCATAATATTACATACGTTCCATGGCTCATGTCAAATTGGATATAATTCCCTCTGATTTAAATAAATCCATTTGAGCAAAATTGTTTCATAGGCTATGACTTGCACTCAAATATTGGAGCACATTAAGAGTAAATAAAATCAATATTCCAGGAAAAGGTTTGACAGTTGTGAGGACAAGGTCTTAAATACGAACCTTCTATTGTTACATCAGACTCTCTTAGATATCTTCCACTTTTTTCCAGCCTATACGATTTGCCTTTCATCATGCCTTGGACAAGGAGTTGGTGAAAAGGCTCCTTGTTTGGCACCCATCCAAGAGAATGCAGAAAATGGTTCATGAATCGAGCATAGTATAAGTGTAGTACAGCTAAAAAAAAATTAAACTATGAACTTGTAGCGGTAACACTGTTAGTATGGAGCTAAGCAATTTTAGTACTTTGGCTTGCGTAAAATTTTGCAAGAAACTCTATAGTGCCACCGGTTTTCTCAGAAACGAATCATCAAGCTCAAAAAAGTTCTCTAAGTTGAGGCCGAAATGGAGGAGATTACCTACGTTATGGGGAGAGCCCACATCTATATCTAGGTATTTGAACTCTTTGTGTAGAGATAGGGACTAGGGAGTGAATACATTAGTAGGATTGCCACTATACGAGGGGACTCTAACGCTTTAGACATGGCAACCCTGCTGATGTATTCACTCCCTATCTGTGCAAGAAGAGTTCGACTGCACATGGATGTGGGCGCTCCCCATGACGTAGGCAATCCCCTCCATTATGGCTTCAGCTTTGAAATCTTTCTTTTGAGCGTGAGGAATTGTTGTTGAGAAAACCAGTGTGTTTTAAGTGAAATTTTACAAAAGATAAAGTAACCACCTTAATTGCAAATCTCTGCAGCATGCCAGAGCAAAATTCCTTGATTTCTTTTATCGATACATTGACAATAGTTGAGAAGATGAGTAAAAATTTGACAATGACATATTGAAGCATTTGGACGAGATTGAGCTTATAATTGGATGTATTAATGCTAAAAGGAACTATGTGCGCAGGGTTTGTGTGCAACGCAGTTCCTTTTAGCAAAAATACGTTCAATTTTCAAAAGGTTGCAGTTTCATTGGGGTAAATGTACCTAGGCTTACTTTCTCCTATTCATACACTGTTTTTAGTTAGCTTCCTTGGAAATAACTAAAGTAAAAAACTGTTCATCTGTAATTAGGATTACGACATCATGAATCACCGTTCAGGTTAAAAAATGTTTTAATTAAAAAAAAGTATCATTGAAAAATATTCACTGAAGAGTTCAAGGAGCTATTTTGGTAAGATTTCTTTTAAAAATTATAGCAAGATTCGAGATTTTTAGACGGAGAAAAGGAGAGACACATTTGTGAACTTTAACCGTTGATATGATCCCCCAGTTCTCCACCATCAAGTCTTTTACTGATAACAACAGCTCATCTACCAAGATAAATTTCTTTCATGATAGTCCTATGGACAATTGTGTTTCACTGAAACATTTGATGGTATGTATACATATAACAATTAAGGAACATATTTATTCATCAGCAGTCAGCTTTCATGGGATAAAAGTTGTATGAAAAAATATATGGCCACTTCTTTGGAGGCAGAGAAAATTCTTGTTTAACCCAACTTTTTTCAACAGTTTTCAAGGATTTGAGGACATTGTTTGAGGCTACAGTCAGTTGATTGGAAAAGGGGCACCTTGACTACCTATGTTTAAAGAATATGATGAGAGGTAAAAATACCGTGTTCTTTTCCACCGATATAGATGTCTACAGGAAGAAGTTCCTGAGCTTTTTCGGGATCAAATGGAACTTTTTCGTTGGAAGCATCTGTGTACCTGAGGTAGTACCAGCTGGAATCGACAAAAGTATCAATTGTATCTGTCACACGCCTGGCTTGTCCACCGCAGCTGTTGGAAAATAAAAATGCTAAGTGATAGCTAACTAATACTAGTTTTCAAGGAATAAGATATAAATTACTCATTTGACACAATCATAGCAAGATTTAATGAATTGTTATTTTGTGTCAGGAAGTAATTTTTTAAATTAATTTTTATTTGCTTGTTTTATTTTTTACAACTGGACATAATTTTTGTCTATTTCATGACAATGTCTATAGCAAAGAAAGCCTTTGGAACCTTCTCAGAACTGAAAAAATAGAAGAGCTCCAGTTTGGTGCGGGAAAAACTGCACTGGAGAGAGAGTTTGTGAAAAATGATGATAGTTCGTTTTTTGGGCTTATTTCTCTANGGGGGGGGGGGGGGGGGGGGGGGAGGCCAACAGGAAAAAATGGGTATTTTTTACAAATTCAATTCTGTGAATAAATTTTTAATTGTAACTATCCCTAAAGAAAGGAACTAAAACATGCAGAGTCAAGAGCTGTGAGCATGGTGGATTAAAATTTTAATCTTTTTTCTTAAAATTTTAATCTTTCATCTTAAAACTTGAATCTCTGCTCTTCGAACTCCAAATTTCAAACCGTCACGACAAGCAAAATTGGATGGTAGTTGTGCCAAAACTTTCGTAACGAAGTTCATCCTTCAATGAAAACTAATACATCAATTAAGGTATTTTCGTGGCAGACTGCTCCTCCTGTCGACGGACACATATAAATATAGGTCATATGAGAATAGAGGTCTGATTTAGAAATTGGTGAAGTGACCAACTCACCTAGGGCATGTAGTTTGAATCCAATTTTGAGCACTTGCAAGAGGTGAGACTCCCTTCACATGAAAGTTTATGTCCTTAAGAGGAGGTAACATAACAGGCAGCTGGTCATACGGGATGGGCTGGGGGGCGGCACAATTTTCACAATCGACAAGTGGTATTGGAGTCCCCCAATACCTCTGTCTCGATATCAGCCAGTCTCTTAACCTTGAGCTTACAGGGTAGCCACCAATATTCTTCTCCATTGCATAGTTACAAATTTCCTCTCTTGTTGAGAACATCGAGTCAAATTTCTTTGTCTCAATCCCTTTCTCTTGGGCAAATAAATTGTCCTCAGGAAAAATTTCTGGAAGACCAGCTTTGACATCCTGACATTCTTCGTATGTAACAGTGTCACTCACAAATATTGGGATGATGCTACCATTGATGGGGTTCTCCGCTTGAATTGAGAGGCGGCGGTTTTTATTTTGATCCAGAGTGGGCTCTAAGTGATCCAACATGCTTCCCGGCAAAACAGTTAAATACTGAATATTGTTGAGATGTTCTGGGTTTCGTATCCAAACAGTGATAAATGTTGGAATTTTTTGTTTCTCCAATACTAGATTGAAATTAAAACTATATCCATCGCACTTGCCTATCCAGTTCCTTTGCATGGCAAGAACTTCATCCCAATTTTTCAGAACATTTTTGTCAAGACCATCGTACAGACTCCTAAATACAAGCATTCAGTGATTACCCAAGGAAAATTAGTACTTTAATGATATGTTTAGATGAAAACGGGGATAGTTGTCTGAGGAAAAATATGCAATGATAAAAATTGAACATGTGCAATTGTGCAAGAAGACAATTTGTGTGCACCTTTTTATCCAATAAAAATACAACTAGGAGCTGCAAGACAGTGAATTCATTTTCTCAATTTGAGATGTTTGATACATTCAGGAAAATTATGAAAATAAGAAAATACGTTTTTTCTCAGTCATTATTGACAATAGAAACTGAAATTTTGGGAACTCATTATCTCTTCACTAACATTAACATGGTCTTGAGTCTATGCCAAATAAGTTAATGCCCTTTCAGGAGGCAAAAGAATATCAGCTGTCTCCAGTTCAGCATAAGAAGTAAAAACGAGAGTCAAGATGGCTCATCTTTTGTTGCACTCTTAAAGAGCATGAACTTATTTAGTATGGATTCTACAAAATTCTATTCTACATTGCTTTAATTGAGGCAATCCAAAATTTCGAAAGGATTAGTAATTGCCTATTCCTTACTTTAAGGAAACATACTTACTTATTAAAATTCACGAGTACTTTTGCCATTGAATAATGCAATGGATCACACACAATTTCCCTGGAAATTGTGTGTGAAAATTGTGTCCTTTATACCGAGTGTTTTGGGATTTGGATTGTAGCGAGTGATGTCTCATGGCCGGCTTTTCGGGGCCGGAGCTAAGTTCGGCCGGCTTCAGCTTTGACTCTGGGCAGTCGGCTGCGCATTTTAGGTGAGTGTATATTCCCTGAGGTCCGATGCCTTAAGCACTCGGAGATTGGCCTGCTTAGTTGTTGTGTTGGTGCATTTTCGTAGACGCGAAGTTCGTGTGTTCGTCGTGTCCTGTTTAGCTCATAAGTGTTAGTGTTTGAGGAGATAAAGTGTGTTCCTCGTCAAGGCCGTGTTAGGAGTTATATCCCCTGTATTAAGCTACGCTGCGCCCCCAAGGCAGATAGGCTCAGGGCTCCAAGACTCATCACCCGACTCACCCTGTGTCCATTACGATAATGTAGTCATCAATTTAGGAGATTGGAGTTTTGTGGAAGTGTTTCCAAACCCTAAAGGGATTTTTGAAAGGCTTCAATTGGTGTGGTGATAGTGAGGGTGCTTAGTCTTTTGTAAAAGTGAATAAAATTTTCAATATTTTTCTTACTGATGTAAGTAACTAAAAATAATCAGGAAAAAATTAAAAATTTAACATAAGACTGCAATCTTCAACTTCTTACAAATTATTGGATCAAGAGAGAATTTTGTGATGAAACTGCCTGTGATAATGATGTGTTGCATCATGTAACAATCTAAACAAATTTTGAAAATGTCTTACTTCGCAAAAGCTGTTGTTTTGATGAACCATTGCTTCAAAACTTTCTTCTCTACTTTTGCACCAGAACGCCAAGAGTTGCCTTCTTGATCAACCTGTTCATCAGCCAGTACCGTCTCATCGACAGGATCCCAGTTAACAATAGCCTGATAAATAAATAATTACAAAATATTAGGTACCTGTTGTCTTAAAATAAGCGACAGAGTCAATACTAAATCCAGCAGAAGGTGTACAAAAACGGTGGGAATGCTCGAAGCTGGGAAATACATTTCTGGAGATTATAATCTATCCTGATACCTCCGCTAATACAGTTTGACAGTGCGATGGACCTCTAGACAAGGTATAAATTTAACCATTATGATATTCCCTTCAGAATTTCTCTTGTCAAATCCAATTAGTAAATTACAACCATCACTTTAAAGTGATGGCCAGTTACTAAAAATTCTGCCTGAGATGGATTTCTAATTCAATTTCTAATAATCCATGGTTTATGACTTCCATAAAACTTTTTGAGCAACCAAAGCATTACTAAGAATGTAAGAGCAATTTAAGGACAATAACAAATGATAAGAACAATACACAAATATAGCCCGAATAATGCAACAAAAAACAAACCAAAGAGTAACTGGCGGTAACTTCCCCCGTAATTTGTACATTTTAAGCCTTCTTCATCCATCTCATTGTTTGTTTGTTGCTCAGTAGGATATTAAATGCGAAAGTATAAAAATGTATTTCTCAGATTGCAACATCCCAAGTCTCCACTCATGTTTTATATTTTTGAAGGAAAATTGATCAACAGTTTCTATTGAAATTTCCTGTGACTTATTTTTATTCATTCTAAGAAACAATTGGCATAAAATTGCAAGGAAAAATTTTGATCATTTAGTTTTGCAGAAAGCAAAACATAATCCAATAATTTTTAGCGTAGATACATATTTTATTTATTTCACCAATTCACCATCCATTTTATATTACTAAAAACTAATAACAGGCCACATAATTGAGTGTGTTGTTATTATTCGTTCTAGTCCGAAATGATCTGGAAACCATCTGTAGTTGTCTTCCTGATCAGTTATAACCCGTACTGCTCCTAGAAGCAAACAGCAAATCATACCTCTCAGTCCCTCTGAGGCATTTGACTTGAAGCATGGAAGATTACACACTTGGAAGAGACATGCTCGTCAGCAATATTGTGCAGATGGTGAGGCCCGTCGTGACAAAGGACCCAAAGAGGAAGGCAAAGAGCATTGATACTGGCAAACACTGCTTTGTCGACAGTGCCACCTCTTGGCAGATGGACACCGAGCTAGACTCATGGTGGGCTGTTAGAAGCAGGATATGCAAATGGTATGCACAAAAACTGTCCCGATGAAGTAACTTTTGATATTGTTATATGGGTAAATAGAGGTCACCAGAGTAACAATGAAATAATAAATACTAAATATTATAATGCTGAAAATTCATTTTGAAAAATAATCAATATAAGTCGTGAATAGACTTGAACCCGGGACAATTTCTTTGCTGTTCTAAAACTGTAAGATACTGTGGGAGTGGACAGTATAGTAGATGTTTGAGTCTTCAAACACCCATCTGCAGTAACGATAGTAGCGCAGCTGATCAAGTGAATGCTGAACTACTGAATATTAATTGAATTTCTAGTGCAATTTATCCCATAGGTACTTCCCAAGCGTCTCGCATGCATCCTCCAGGTGTGTGGTCTTTCATGCCCTGGGTCTCATCCCCTAATACGCAATTATACTGTGCAATGCGAATTTTTGAAGTCACCTTAGTTAAACATTAACCCTAAACCAAACCCATTAAGGTTTGACAAAGTTTGCTATTCTCCAAGCTGGTCAACTTGATACCAACTCACATCTTTCTGATACAGAAGTCCAGCATGAAATAATTTTAAAATAATATGTTGCGTCCACTTATAATAATTTGGATGACATGTTGTTAGCTCAGCATCCCAGTCGAAACTGAATCCGAAAGCCTGCAGCTGGGACTTCATGTTTGCTATATTGCTCAAAGTCCACTGGTCCGCCGGAATTTGGCGCTCGATTGCGGCATTTTCTGCCGGAAGGCCAAAAGCATCCCAGCCCATTGGTTGAAATACCTATTGAAAGAAAAACAAATCATTACAATTTTGGTGCATATGTCATAGTCCCTTCTGCCTTGGTCTTTTTAGTGATGTACTTAGGACATCTGGTGCAATGAAATCATCACACTCAAGAATGGAAGACTGAGAAAACCATAGTATGCATTACAACAGAAGATGATGACAGTCACAGTGTTTTTAACAAAGCAGTATTCTTGGTATTGTTGGAGTTGGAAACAGGATATTTGGATAGCTCTTATTACTTCCGAATAATCTACAACTTTTAGTACATGTACAAACAAAATTCTATGATTCACCCTTTCAATACAGTAGTTAGTTTACTGTTTTATGCATGCACTGTACACTGCAGACAAGTTGAATTGTCTGAGGCTGTGGACTTTCTGAGGCTCCTTCATATTGATGAAAAGTGGCTGTTGGTATATGTTATTTATCAGTAAAGGTACAAACTACACCTCGAGCATTATTTACAATAATCATCTTACATACTTCTCAATGACTGGTTGGGCTGCCATCTTTTAAAATTTTGAGAGCAACTTACATTTCTTCCTTTCATGTGATTGAATCGAGCCAAAGTATCACTAATTGTGTAGACACGAATGTGTCCCATGTGCAGATTTCCAGATGGATACGGGAACTGTGAAAGAATGTATCGCTTAACTTTATCTTCATTGTGTCTGTCAAATCTCCTCTCATTGACTCTTTTACTCCAGATTGATTCAATTTCTTTCTTAGTGGCTATGTCAAAATATTTATCCTGGAAAAATAGCGATGGAAACTTAAAAGGTGTAAAGGCATGTATAGTTTATAAGTAGGCTTCAGTATTACTTGAGGTATTTGAAACATTAAAATGAAAAAACATAGTTTTAATAAATGTGAAGCACTTTTGAAGATTCACCCCTAACTTATCGGGAGCTAATTTTAATACTTGACCATCATTGTACATCTAGAAGGCTAATCTATTCTAATTCCCTACAGCATTTTATTTTCAACATTTCGTATGAAAAATTATGTTCACAACACAAATTTTATTTTATTCCAATCAAAAATTGCAATGTGCAATTCCAAAGTTGAAATTGGGCACTGGTGGGAAAAGGAAACATCCAATATCTAATGATTGACTGTTCTAGATTTTTTACATAACTCATAACTTCAGTGTTTACAAATCGATAACTGAAGTGCGAGATTATGTATCTCTGCATGTTAGATTGCAGACTTCCTACCTTATTTGGACCGCGTTAAATGGAAAGGAACTAAGCCACATCAGCTGTTGCCAAATATAATTGGGTAATTTAATTATTTACACGAAGATGGTTGTGCGGATTTTAATGCAAATTTCAGTGAATTTTCTCTACAGTACGAAGCAAATTCCTAAAAATTTTCAAACGCATCCACTCAAATGTTCTCTCAAAAAAAATTAAATTGCCCAGTTAACTTTGGCAATAGCTGATGTGGCTTGGTTCCTTTCTGTTGGACGCCGTCCATTTTTCCCTAGGAAAACTAGACGATGTAACTTCTTGAAAAGTTCCTTGATTTTTCTTCTCTGTTAGCAGTTTATTCTATATAAATTTCAAGCTATAAAGTTGACTTGTTGCTCTTCAATCTATTAAACTGCAAATTAAGATTTTGAGAGGGGTAAAAGTACCATTTCTTACCCAAATATTTTCAGAAAAGTGCCTCAGATTTACTACAGAGAGGCAAGTTGAAGAGTATTGTTTGTTCGTTGACCAATGGAGAATATTTTGCACCTTCATTTTACCAAATCAGCGTCCTCAAGAGGCTGTTGATGGAACTGACAGTAAATTGGTGATTGAACAATCAATACGTCAGTTTTCTGATCTTCTTTTCTGAGTGGCTTAGCCAGTAGATGATGAATGGTAGGTAGTTGCTTTGAACTGTAAGCGTGCTGATTATCAATGATAAACAAGGAATCGGAAAACAAAAGTGGATAGAATCAGGATGGATGGTTGGGACGCTCATGGGGGAAGTATGAACGCTGTGCAGACCTCTTTAACTTCATGGCTGGTCCATTGGGTACAGACACGTGAGAAAACATTTAGAGATCTCTCGTAAAAGGCGAAACTGAAGATATTGCGAGGAGCATACGTCTACTCTGGCTCGAGTATTTAAGTAAGTACATAAGTACATGTTAGATGGGACACTGAAAACATCAAACTTTCGAACAAAATTTCTCAAACATTCAGATAAAATAAAGTAAAACACTATTGTAAGTGGCTGAAGATTATGAAATTATGAACACTTTTTATCAAATTGCAATTACGAAAAGGGGACGTTCTCACGTTCCTTGCATTACAACAATACAAAAAAAAACACAAGCACATTAAGAAAACATGCCGAATTTTTAGGTTAGGTTAGGCAGTTATCAATGATAAAGAAATAAAATCTGATTGGCGCATTTAAAATTTCGTTTCACATCCACAATCCAATAGGAATAGGAGAAATTCGGTAAACATGATGGCCTGTTTAGGTTAGGCGCAATTTTACCTCCAATTTCATGCATTCAAGTGCTGAAAGAGCCAAGCGTATTTGTGTTTCTGATTTTTTAAAGTAATTTTAATTTTATTGCAGAACTCTAGATAATGACCTCATCCTTGAATTGTAGTGGAGTGATTCAGTGGTTAACACCACAGAAGACGGTAACCAAATCTGTGAAGGCGAAAGCAATGATAATGCAGCTAGTTCGGAATGAGTTTCGGGAACTATTCCTTTGCATCGCAGCAAACAAAGCTAACTACAAGTACCAACTCACAGACTTTCAGGTATTCAAGAATAATTAATTAACACTTCAATACTCATCAAAACCAGCCAACATTTCTGCATTGTTACTACAGGATTGTAGTACTTAGTAATACTTTCAAAGGAGAATGCTGCATTTGCCTAAGTCAAATTATATTTTGTGTATAAGGCAAGAATGGCATTATAATTTGTAGCAATTTTTTCGATGCGAATTCTTTGTACACATATGCTGTAACTCCGATTTGGATGGGCGAAATATATGACGGAGGTCTGACTTAAGCTTATTGTACTTAGCCTAAATATTGTAAAAAACATAAGTTAAAATAATAATGAAATTTAGCATTCACTGAATTCCTCAGTGTTCTGTGAAATTTCTTTTACCTCTTGTTTCTTAGTTCATTTTTGCTAAATATATCTCATTTTGAAACAACCTCATAGATTCAAACTTTTTTTGCCACTGTCTATAGGTACACAAAAATTTTATCCATGAAGGAAAAGCAACAATCAACTTCATGCAGCTAAACATATCTGTTTTGATATCAAACGCCCCACCAACGCACCTCCTAACGTTTCTGAAAGTTATCTTCATTAAAGTGGCAAGTGCCAAGAAATCTCCCAAAACAAGTGCGAGGAATCAGCTCCTGTCAACCAAGCAGCAGATGACAGAAGAAATTAGTCCGGTGAATCCAAAAGACATCAACCGTACACAGTCACAGGCGAAGGAAAAGATGCAAAGGATGCCAGCTGCAGAGCTGCGTAAAAAACTCTTGAAAGCAGAGAAACAGAAACAGGTTTGCATTCAAAATGTTTTTTTTTTTTTTTTTTTCAGGGAAGCACGCCTAGGAATGGCATTGATAATGGAGAAGAGTAAAGGTTAATTATGTTGCATAATGTGTATCAAGACCGCAGAAAATGCTAGTCCGCTGCAAGAGGTAATTCATGAGAGCCCCAGGAAATTTTCAGCGCTTGTCAGTAGGCTCACCGTCTCCTCTTCCTTGGATTTTCATTCCACACCAATTGTATTGCTCCATTTTCAGAGCTTCTATCTATTTCTCTTGGTAGTCTCATGTATCTTCTGCTTTCTTCGCTCTTCTATCCGATGAGAAAAGCTGGGGTATTTTGATTATTTTGGTCCTTATTCAGGAAAACCTAAAAAAGTGAAGAAACTTTTCCCCTCTGAGTCTGTAGACACCATGCAATACCTGTTTAAAGCAAAGTTTTACTCTAAATGAAAAAAATCTCTCCGAGAAAAATGACAAAGGAATGATCAGAGGATGCAGAAAGCAGGATGTCAAAGAGTTTGCATTTCAAAGGGGCCAGTACGAATTATCTATAGAACCTCTTGAATAACTAGTTACATAATTTGAGCAGTGTCAGAGGTGTCTATACTCATTGTCCAATTTATCACTCTTTTAAATCATGAAGTTAAGTATGCCGACGTTCATATCTAATCTGCTCTTGAACTTACAGTTTGACTTTCTCTATTTTCAGGAACAAAATAAAAAAGGGTTAGTTACATTTGATTTTGTGTCTGAGCTGTCTAAGGAACAGAAACGCGTTTTGGATGCTGTTTCGGGTAAAAGGAACATTTTTTTTACTGGAAGTGCTGGCACTGGCAAGTCCTACCTTCTGCGCTGCATTTTGAATTCCTTGCCGCCAGACGTCACTGTTGCTACAGCCAGCACAGGAGCAGCTGCTTGCCTTGTTGGAGGAGTAACCCTTCATTCTTTTGCAGGTACATAACAGGATTCTTACGGGAACATTATGTTTTTGAAATACTGAGTGACAAGAGTTTTTATCTATTTTTGAGAATTCAACAGGCTCATAGCTAGCTAATCATGGAATTTCAAACAGATCCACTTAACAAAACAAAAGATGCATATCTAACATAAATGCGACTTTCTGAAGTTCAAAGGTTCATGATTTAATCAATTTATTGGTATATAAACGGGTCAACAGCCCATACAAACAAGTGAAAACACAGTCATGACAGGATAAGCAAAAGTAGAATAGGAAGGTAACAACAAGTGAATCACAGAAAATCTCATTAAAAAGAGAGGATCTAGTCCTTAATGGAATTTTGAAAACAACATTATTGAAAAACAGTAACTTCAACAAAAATGACCCACATGATAAGGAGATAACACAATCATAAAACCAGGATATTGTCAGGAGCAGGAGATCTCTGTTTAAAGAAATGATTATGCCCTTTATGGAATTTTTTTAGAAATTTTACATTGACATGATTGACCTCAGCTAACAATTATCATGTCAGAAGTGTGCATCACATTATCATGCAATGCTTTCAAATTGGGAGTCAGCATGGATAGTAGGTAACTATATTGCATGAAAGAGAGGTTGAAGCCTAGACCTTTTGCTTTTCCCATTTCTAATTTTTCCGCCTTTGCAGGTATTGGAGGAGGTACGGGAACATTAGAACACTGCTATCAGCTGGCTTCAAGACCACAAGTTGTGCAAAACTGGCGCAAATGCAAGAACTTGGTCATAGATGAAATCTCTATGGTGGACGGAGATTACTTTGACAAGATTGAGGCAGTTGCAAGGCGTGTGAGGAATAGCGATGCGCCATTTGGTGGAATCAAACTTATTCTGTGTGGCGATTTCTTGCAGCTGCCACCCGTCGCAAAAGATTCTAAAACACGGTTCTGCTTTCAATCAGAGGCGTGGAGCCGTTGCGAACTCCAGTGCTTCAATCTGAAGGAAGTCCATCGACAGTCTGATCCAGAGTTTATTAACATGCTTAACAATATTCGAGTAGGAAGGTAAAATCATTGTTAAACAAAATAGAAAAAAACTCAAGAGAATTGAATAAAAAATTGAAAGCACACACACACATAAAACAAAAAAAAACAAACAAAAAAAAAAAAAAAATTGTTAACCTTCTAAGAGTCTAATCATAAAAAATAAGCTCTATCATTAATCAAAATGCAAGTTCTCTTACTTTAAAAGTGATAATTAATTCAAATGTTGGTTGAGCTTTGGGCGGTTATCAACGGCAACAACCAATGAAAACATTGAATAAAATCCTCATCCCTGAAAATGAAGATCATTGAGGAACATCTAATTAACTTGCAGAATTGACTGATAAAGCAATGTTCAAAATATTTCTGTAGAAATGGGCGTGAAATGTGTTGTTGTTAAATTGAACCCCTTGTTGCCAGCTAGCCATTTACTTTCCTAGCTGTTGACATTCTTCATGAAGTCCAGCCATTGCTCAAGCAGTAAGTCACACTTTTAAAACAGAAAACATTTGCGCACTTACGTATTTGATCATGTAAGTGTTTCTCACAAGAAAGGCTTGAAAGGTCAATGAAGTTAGCCGTGTGTTCCTTGTGAAACTCACCCACTTTTGACAAGTAACTCTGTACAGCCTAGAATTTTGAGCAGTTGACAAGTTACATTAAAATTCTGGTTTTGTTTTGAGATGCCCGGCAACATAACATCTAAAGTATAAACGGCGTTTGCGACTTTTTGGGCAGAAGGTAGAAGGTGATAATATGAACCATCTTGTATGAAATACATTCTAATACAGAGGACTAATTGCAACAGAGTCATTCTTCTCTGTGTACAAACACCTCCTTTTTTTATGAAGGATGTCTTGAATGCGAATATTTAATTTTTAAAAATATTAATAAAAGCAACAATTAAATTACAAAAATATGAAAATTAAAAAAAAAACACCCTGGAAAATGTTTCAAAGCAAAGATTTTTGTTTGGTTTGTAAAATTATGATCTTTCCTTTTTAGAGTTACTCCTGAAGTGTCAGATCGGTTAATAGCAACTGCCCGGAATAACTTAGAAAAAGATGGCATTGTCCCTACACAGCTTTGTTGTCGAACTCGAGAAGCAGAACAGATCAATGAAACAAAACTTGCCGAGTTACAAGGTAAGTTAAACTTCTTTTTAATAATTAATATGTACTTTATGAACGTTAGTCTGGGTAACGGTTCCTGTTTATCCTCAGTAATATGAAATCAAGTGAAATATTAATAATGAGAATAAATATTTGAATAAAATGAAGTATAAATAAAATGAGCTAAATATTTTTTAATAATCAGTAAAATTAGTTAAAATTCGAATCTTAAAGCAGTGATGATAACTATTTTATTAAAAAGTCTTGAAATCTTAGCTTGTTTCCTGCCATGGTGTTTTGGGTGCACAGATATATATTTAGGCATGGCGCTCGTGGAACTCTTCAATGCCACTTGAAATGACCAGCATGGCAGCCAACATGCCAGATATTAGATTTCTAACTGGATTGTTTTTACTTTCATTGTTCCAGGAGAAATGCGGAAATTTGAAGCAAGGGACAGTGGAAATTCAGCAAGTTTAGATGATCAAACACGTGTTAGTAAAACTTTGTGCTTGAAAGTTGGAGCTCAAGTTATGTTATTAAAGAATGTATCCGTTACAAAAGGACTTGTCAATGGAGCTCGAGGTGTTGTTTCAAAGTTCTCTGCTGAAGGTAAAAACCTGTAAATACCATCACATGAAAAATATAATTTATCAGCTTTTCAACCAGTAAATAACCTTAATTGAAGTCATTTAGTCGCACAATCTGGCCAAAAAAAAATTATCGGTTAGATTTGTAATTCTCTTAGAAAGATTTGCTGCAGAGCCTGCTGTTCAAAGTTTAAGGCTTGTGTATACCCAATGTTTTGCTGAGGAAAAAGATGGTGCCAATCAACCTTAGAACCTCAGAACAAGATAGTCACTTCATTCTGCCCCTTAGCCATTAATTGTTGAGTCCTATTACTGTTTCCGGCAGTTTGGAAAACCGGAAAAGTCATGTGAAAGTCAGTCTTTACAGCGACTTGGAAAAGTCGGCAAATTTTGCTAGTAGTGCTTTGGCTCAGTAACTTCAGTCTGCGCTATTCGAGAGAGTGCAAGGCAATGGCCAATTTCCTTTATTTGAATTTGTAGAAGTGGAGATTTCGTCCATAGTTTAGCATAAGTCAGAGTAATTTAAAAGGAAAAATCGAAGGGGAGGCTTTGGTCAAAGATCAGGGAAAGTCAGGAAATACGGAAATTTTGGAATCAGGGAAAGCAAAACTAAGTAAAAAATTTGACATTGGTGAAATTATAGAATCCCTGGTCCTCTTTCTATGGCAGCATCAGTTCTAGACTTGAATAGGTCAATATTCTTTTAAATCAAAACTGTTTTAATAAATGAATTGATCTTTTTTTGTTTTTTAGGTCACCCTGTCGTTGTTTTTTGTTCTGGTGAAAGTTACACTTGCAAGCCAGAGAAATGGTTTGTTAAAACCACAGGCGGTGGTGTTATCACCCGAATCCAAATTCCTCTCCAGTTAGCGTGGGCTTTCTCCATTCACAAGTCGCAGGTAAGCATTTTACTCGTTTAAGTTGGTTCTCCCAAATGTAATGCAAATGGTTTTCATCGGAAGATAATCTCCAACACACAATCTTTAAATGATCAAAACTTGTGTAGTTTTTGATCAAATAACATTCCGAGGGCTTGTTTTATTGCTGAAAGGACAGAGTTTTACAGAAGCGCCCCAAGTCGCATTTTGGGGAAAAATGAGTCAAGAGTAGGTTTGAATTCAACTAACCGTAAATTTTCCTCCGTCAAAAAGTGAAAGTCGGAAAAAATACTCTGAATGTTAAAATAGTTGTTAAACTTTGTCTTTAACATTGAATTTTTTTAAGAATTACAGTTCCAGAACTCTCTTGTTTCAAAGTTGATCCGTTTCAGTTGGACTTGGTCTATTTGTTCACATTAACCAGAACTAGTCGCATTTCCTTTGGGACAAGCCATGTGTTTTTATATGCTCAAAGGTTAAAATAAATAGTTTTTAAAATTGAAAAAAAAGAAGAAATAGAGGAGAGAAAATGTAATAATCCAGTTTTAAATCAGAAGCTTTCTTCTATAGCAGTCTCATCAAAGGGTGGGCATTTTTCATAATTATTTTATTTGTGCCAATGCTTCTTGTGCATAAAAAAGGAAAACTGAAAGTAAGGTAATAAATTAATGAATCCTAGCATGGATACAAGGTGGAGTGTTCTTTTTTTCCCTCTTCCTTTTTTTTTTCTACACGAAAGAATGCTTTACGTCTGTATTTTCCTTCTGAATAATGAGACAAGAAAATCTCGGTTATAGATTTCCAAATTCTTGATCTTCTTAAATTTTTCCCAACTCATTTAGGAGATCAAAGCGCATAAAGTATAATTTATAAGCTGTATGAAAATGTTAAGATTGACTTTTCTCTTATGTCTCTTCTCTCAAATCTCATGATAGCACTGATGAACACCTAATTTAATATCCCTCAGGGTTTGACACTCGACTGTGTTGAAATGGCATTGAGTGGAGTTTTTGAAGCTGGGCAAGCTTATGTTGCCCTTTCTCGAGCGCAGAGTCTGGATACCTTGCGAGTGGTGGATTTTGATCCAAAACAAGTTTGGGCAAATCCTGACGTTCTAAAATTCTACAGGCAGCTCAATCGTGTAGAGGGTGCAATGGACGCTGTTCGGGTGGGAGTCCATGTTCGGTGACTCGTCAGGTGAGTTCAGAGGAGTTAATTCATTTCTTAACTGGCTTCAAAATACCTAAAAAATAATTGTCTTATGATCAACTCAGCCACATTTGTAAGACAAAGTGCAAAAAATGCGTAACGTTCAAGAATCTTAAATTATGTGTTCTTTTATTAAAGAAAAACTGATCAACATTTTTTCTTGCACTGTTGTGTTTCTTTCAGAATGAGTCGGAACATTCCCAGAAAATTTCAGTAAAAACAGTTGGTTTGAAATAGAACATGAGTATAGACCAAAAATGTTGCAATCTAGAATGCGCATTTTCAACTTCAGCCATAGCTTTCTTATCAGTTATCTTCCTCCCTACCAGACCAGTCATAGTGACTGTTACTTTGATGGTCGTCTCAAACCAGGACAGTGGCAGTATTTAGTCCATTAAAGAAACATTTTTAACCTTTTTAATAAAGCCTTTAATTATCCAGTGCATTTTTTCCAGTTGGTACTGAAAAAGCACTTTTCTCCCATTCAACCTCATGAAAAATATTCACATTTTTCACATGACGTGACAACTGTGATCCATTCTTTTCTTCAGATTGCTCTCATTGCTCACTTAGTGAGTAATGAATGAGCAATACAGATGTAACTGAATGGTAGTATAAGTATTGTGGGATTCCCTATATTTTAAGGCTGTGACATTTTGCCTTTTTTTCTCATGTAATTTTCTGGCTCAGGTAGTAGGAGCACATATACAAATGCATGTTTACAGGGAAAACATGAAGTTACCTCGCTAAAATCCTGCACAAAAAGTGTACGGGGCTGTACATATATCGTCAACCAGGAGCTGAATGTAAACAGAGGGATCAGTTTTCACAAGAACTTTATTTTTAACAAATGTTTACAAAGAAAGTAAATGAACAAATACTTATACTCTATAATTTTAAATAGAAAAACAATTGTAACTTAGTTACATCTATTAAACTTTCCAGTACTCAACAGAATATTTACAATTTATCACAAAAACGAACAGTTCTGAATTTTAATCCTCTTACCTACTAACATTTACAAAAAATTACAACAGAGGCTGATCTTTAACAAACACTATTATATAGTGTTTACTCGTGAATCACTCAAACCAAAGGGCAGTTTTTCTTGAATGTTCACACTAAAGGTTGTAAGGACTTTCCAGCAGAAAATTTATAATGCACGGCTCTTAGTAAAAAAAGATTTAAAAAAAATGTTAGTTCAACATGTATGAATAGTTTTTTTTACCTACTTTAGTGAAAATTGATTGCTCGTACTTAGCATCTAACTTTTGAAAAAAAGAAAAAAAAATTATGATAATTTTACGACTGAAAAAAAAAATGAACCCTAGAAAGTTATTTCTGTATACCTATTGAAGTGGAACAAAAGCAGATCTATCAAGTTGGCAATATTCTTCTCTCTGCAATTAAACCTATGTTGAACGGTCGATTCTTGTCGGAGCACTGTCTCCTCCAAGAGTTGATTCATTTCTGTAGTCCATAGGTTTAAATGGAGAGAAGACATTTTTCCCAACTTGCTGGATTCGCCAATGGAGTGGAAAGAGCTTCGCATCAAATTTTCTTCTCACTTCATTTTAACTGGAGTTCTATGGTGTCCAAATTAAGTGTTGCCCTTTTGTTTGAGTAAATGAATGATTTTAGATGCCTCTTTTCTAGAGCTGAAACTTGTCCCTGCACACACGGTGCTCAATATTTATTCACTGAAAATGATTTATGTCCACTCAAATTTCTCAAGTTTTTCGTTCAATATTTTAAGGTTGTTAAATTGATAAATTTTGTAAACTTTAAATGGAAACATATCATTCCATTTGTTCTGGAGAGTCGATTCCCGAACTTGTATAGTTGACTTCTAATCAAAATGTATTAAAATTGTCGTTTATGATGCCTTGTTAAGGATCTCCTCAAACCTCTGTTAATCACAATGTAAACTATATTGAGCCTCTTTAAGGAAAGGAGGTGTGTGAGGAACAACTATGAATATGGTCCTCAATTGAACTGGTCTCCTCTCATATTTCATTTATTCATTGATTCTATTTACTCATTGATTTTCTCATCAACAACTTCTCTCTGTTTCCAGCAACGCAACATGGAAAATTATGGAATATGGCTGCACACCGAAAATTGATAGACCCCCACTGCAGTCAAGGCTTAAGTCAATGTGGCATTTTCTGTCACCCGTGCTTTTAAAATTAAGTCTCTCCTAACTCTAGTTTCAAGTCAGGACTTAATTATTATGTTTTAGATGAACTTTTTCATAGTATTTTTTGAATCTAAGGTAGGGGGAAAAATTGTGAAGATATTTACCTGTGATCAATTGACTGATTCTTACTTTCCTTAGATTAATTTTTGTTTTCTGCTCAATTTCATGAGATTCAGTGGTCTGAGACTGCACTGGAAGCTTGAGTCACCATCATAGGGATTGTTAATGGACTTTTCCTTGAGAAAGCTGATTTATATTAGGACAATCTTTCAGTTTTGTCAAATAGATTCTTAGACGGAGACAGTTTTTCACTGGAGTAAAATCGTTAACTTAAGTAAAATTCAACCGTTCTCTCTTTCTTGGTCTGTTAATTTGACATTATCCTAATAAGGTCTCATGTGATATCTTTGTTTAACAAATTCTATTGTCCTATTTTGTATTGCATTTTGACTGAATAGTTTCAAAAAGCGTTTGTTTGAGACATTCATCAGCATGTAATTATTTAAGGTGTGGTGAATTTTCTTCTAAGATTTTAGTCTTTTTTTATTTTCTTCTTTTGCTTTCTAACAATGTGTTCGTACAGGGACATCAGCTATGTAAAATAAGTCATTTTTAAAGGGAGTGAAAAGGAGACATTACATTTTAACTTTTTTTGATTTATTGCGAACGTCTCCTATTATGCATTTACTTTGAGGCTTTCAGTTTCTTATAATTTATTTTTATGTACTTTTTAACTTCATAGTCTGGTCAAAAGATGGAGAGTTGCAGGCTCATACTTGTATGAATTTACCTTATCGTCTTTTTATATTGTATGATCCCCATTATATATGTTGAAAAATGTGTATCTGGAAGGCATTTTTTAAAAATTCCCGATTATGTTTTATTTTCTTCAGGGAAAACAAGTCAAAATGTTTCCCTGCAAGTCTTTGTCATTTTCTTGAAATGAAAGGAGAAAATCGTCAGATAATTTTAATAGTAACTGTTGGTTGGTTTTTCTTTAAAAAAATAAAACTTATGAGTACGGACTTACAACATTACAATCTGAGATACACATTTTTCAACTCTAGCTCAATCAATATTATGCAAGTTGTACCATTCAAGAGTAATTTTTAATGAGTCCTAATCTATCTTGTTTGATCATTTAAATGTTAAATGTGTCCACAAATTGCATGCATTCTGCATTTAAGAGCTGAAATTTCTGGCTCATACTAGAAATACCTATATGCCATTTGTTTCCATATGCTAATAGATGTATTTACGGATGACTCAGAAATACTAGTTTTGCAAAATGTAGTTCAAATTAGAGAGTAAATTTTAAGAGGGTGCTGTCTCCTTTGTTCCACTCAATGTATTAAGCTTTTAAAGTTTATTTTGTTTTTGGCATTTGCACTTATCCTAATTTCTTAATTTACATTATTCATGGCATCCTAGATTAAATCATAGCCTTATAGTTACTATATACATATTTTATTGTTTTCAACAAAATCTCATATTTTCATTTTGTTGCAATTGTTCTAAATGCATCTTAGAAATAATCTCCATCAGCATTTCAAAGTTGCGCATTAACAATTTAAGAACCTGTTGGGAGGTGCTTTTTTGCCTGGGTAGTATAACTTTTCCTACTTTGTTCTTGATCTGTGACAATCATGATTTACAATTTATTGAAAGCGTCTTTTTCTCTTGAGCATAATAAATCTCAATTTTGATAAATCAAATTTAGAACAAATTGCATTAATTTAATGACATTCCTGTAGTCTCTAAATAGGCAAAACCTGCTCTTTCTTATTTACTTAGATATAAAATACTGCTCAGAGAAAATCATCATTTCTTCATTTTTAGGTTTTATCTTCCTCTGAGCTGTGTTATTTCCATTTCAATGAATTCAGATTTCTTTCCATTATTTAAGACTCATATTTTTATCGAGTCTTTTCATTGTTCCAACCTTAATATTTGAGATCATTATATTTGTTTTTCTGACTGTTTGAACTGAAGTAATTTTAATGAAGGGAAATTATCTGAACAAAAGAAGCTTAACCTCTTTTTATTTTTATCTCTCTCTTTCCCTCTTTGGAGCACTAATCTGAGTAATCCTCACTTCTTTATAAAACATTCTCTCTTCAAAAGTTCAATAATAAGTACCATGGCCAGTTCTGAAACTCAGTGCTGAGGTATCCTGGATGTATACCTCCTAATTGGAAAGAAGATAACAGTAACCATGCCCTGTTCCCTAGTCTTCCAGATAGCCAATTGAGAGCACAAAATGCATACCGTCTACTGGATCCAGTTAGCTCAACTTTTTAGTTTGTGCGAAACCACTCTGGGAAGGGTATCTTGGGCTTCCTCTCACGAGGACTTCGAGATGTGATTCGCAATTCACTTGGGAGATCATAGCAACGGCAGACACAGCATGAGGGGAACTTGAACCAGTCCGAGAAAATCCCACGACAGTCATTATTGGGATCGTAGGCTAGCAGCCTGTGGAGCCGATATTGTTGCTCACAACGACAACCTTGCCTACAGAACATCTGTTTGTTTTCATATCTGTGTATAAAAAAAAATTTAAATGAGTAACCTTTTCAGCAAGACTGGACTTACCATGTTGCTGCTCTGTACCAACAACAGTAGGTATACAACCCGTGGTCAACAATAGAAGGTTGCCCTAGTTTCCGAAAGTGATAACATTTGAGGACTTTTAAGCAAGGAAGAAATAGAAAAAAGAAAGGAGTTCATCACTTTTGCAATCTGCTTCCACGTTCTTGTAATTTGCTGCCCCCAAAAAATTTGCAGCCACGGGAGGCGGCCAAATTGGCTCTCCCTTAAATCCTGCCCTGCTTGTTAGTCATTAGTTTCAAGTGAACTCAAAAAAGAGAAAATAGTAAAAAATATCATTAAAAAAACAGGAATTGATCTGTAATCTCCCCTAATTGCATAAATACATAGTTCCAAAGTTCCAGAACAATTTTAATACATAGTAATCATTTTAATTTGAGTATTGAAAGAGGTTTTACCCCATTAAGCAGAATAGAATAAACACCAAACAGTGGCTGTTTCAATACACTAAAATCTTATTTTGCCACCCATGGAAAATGATGTCTTAGTGTGTCTCTCTCTGTTTCTCTGAAGAATGCATCGGTATCATTACTCCAAAATACATGTTTGTCTCCCTTTTAGGCAAAATATTTAATTATGATTGTCATTACTCTCTTTGAACCAGTTTTACAGATATTAGTGAGTGAATGGGGTGCAAAAGTGTTTCCAGCTTTTTTCCTTGAACGGAAGGACTTCTGAGTACTTGAGATGATGATTTAGTTCATATTTTTTAACAGGGAATGAAGTTATTTTGAAGCCTAAAGAAATTGAGGTCAGACTTACGTGCATCGTTCCCAATGGACATACTGCTCAAATGGATATAAATTTAGTAGTGCCAGTACTTCGCCTCTAGTGTTGTTTGCCCAAAATGGTGCTACTACTTCTTCTTTTACTGGACAAGCGTTTCTAGGGAAGAAAAAATTAACATGCTTTCAAAAATGTTATCAATCATTAACAAAATAAGATACAAAGAGGTATGAGGGATAAGAAGAATAGAATATTTTTAAAATTTCTCATGTCTGCAGAAGAATTTTAGAAGAGTGACTCTCTGACTGCTGGTAATTAAAAACCAAATAAGACGTGTTTTGGCACTATGTTAGTTCCTAATTAAGAGTCCAATGAAAAGAAAAATGAAGTTAATGTGGGACAGCGAGGAGGATAAAATTGAGTTTGCGACTAATTTTTGGAACTGCTTGGCTTTGATTTCCTCGCGAAATGGTGTGGACCCAGCACCATTTATCCACCTTGTTACATACAGTATTCGGGCCACTTCTTAGTGTTTTTTTTCTCATCCATAAGTGAACGTATGCCATCCAGTACAGTGTCACATTTATTGGATTATATTTTACTCGCGGGTAGAGAAATTGGATTGTAAGCAAAAATGAACAAAGAGCATTCCAATATCGCTAGGATTGTGTAGCTTACATTCTTTGCAATAAAATTACTGAAGTTATGCAAATAAAATAAATTTACTAAGGTAATTTTTGTCACTTCACATGAGTAAAACTTCCTATGAGTAGGAATTCTACTCATATCACTAGAATATTCTACTCAAAAGAGTAGAAAAGTTCAACTCATAAATTCAATTTTTTTCATATTTCAGAAGTGCTGTTTCTGACAAGGAGACACTTACATAGTATGTAAATTTGAAAAATTAAAACATTTTGTTCTTATAATTTTTTTGATGCGGTGACTAGTTTCTGAGATATCGGACACGGTAGATTCAGCGCTGAACTCACGCGAGTTGAAATCTCCAGTCATACCTATGAGTTGGCGAAAACTGAATAGAGAAATTCTGCTCATATGGGTTAAACTCTATTCATATAAGTTGAAATTCTACTCATGTGAGTTGAAATTCTACTCATGTGAGTTGAAATTCTATTCATATGACTTTGATTTTTCTACTCATTTGTACCTACTCATCATTTTTAGCAGGGAGTAAAGATAAAACTTGTTTAGATGATCAGTTTCTATTCGCAAGGTAAAAACAGTTGCACAGTCTTGGCGAAATTGGAATGCTCTTGGTTCCTTTTTGCAAAATTCAATCCAATTTTTTTTTTTTTTTTTTTTTTTTTTTTTTTTTTTACCACTTTAAGTAGCCCACAAGGGCTTATCCCGCGCTTCTTAGACCCAGCCCCCCTTCGTCCCTACTGAACAACCAGTCCCGGGCAACCATTGTTCGAGACCATCAAACTCGGGTCGCCTGGCCGGGAATCGAACCCGGGACCTCCCGATCATAGAGCTAGCGCTACAACCACTAAACCACAGGAGGCCGACGATGTTGAGTATCTTGAAAGGACAAAATTGAATAAAAACCAATTGAATTTTTGTTATTTTTTCCCTGGCTTATACATACATATAAGTCGCTTTACAGCACTCCCTCGCGCTCTACGACTCCTAACCTCCACTGCTCTCTTTCAAACCACAAATCTTGGGGGATTGAGCACCTTAACATTTCCGCTTCAATCCCCTCCAACCTTTCATTGGGCGCCCTTTGCGTCTTCTCCCAGGAGGAACCCAGTCAAGGACCTTCTTCGGCAACCTGTCTCCTGCCATTCTCTGGACATGACATTCCCTGGCTTATCTCTCTTGAATGAATGACGACGCCGTGGACTTACATGCCTCTGAGCTTGTACATGGGCGACTCCTCGGTAGTCTCCTGGAAGATCTGCGGCTTGGCCTCGGTGTCCTCGGCGCTGGGGTTGGCTTCGGCGTCCGGGTCGGCGTCGACGCCCGGGTTCGCGGCGGCGGCCGCCGCGCGGAGGGTGGAAGTCTCGTTGTCCCCGCCGCCGGTCCCCGGGCCGGGCCCTGGCCCCGTCCCTGTCCCTGCGGCCGTTGTCGTCGTCTCCGGCGGCGTCTGCGTCGTCGGGTCATCCGTGTCCGTCACGTACGTCGTCTCGGCCATCGTCAAGTTCGCTAGCGTCGCGTTCACCAGACCCCAGCTGCTCGCCGAGCTCGTCCAGCTCGAACTCTGTCAACGATCAAAGCAAAATTGTCTAATTATCGTACTTAACCGAATGGACTTCGTTTAGCAGAGAGGATAAGTCACATTACGACGGTGTAAGTCGGCAATCACATAACTCGTTTGCGGTGTCTGAAAATCTCCGCCTCTACGTCATTTTTTTAAAGGAGAACAAATTGATATTATTTCTTGAAGTTTTTGCAGAATTTTCTTCGCATTGAGAAGAAAAATCATGACAGTTTTAAAGAATTGCCGTTGAGTAGTTTTCCATTTAAAAAATAAAGTATGACAGGAAGTCTGCGACGTCGCAAACCGAGTTATGTGATTGCCGAATTTCACCGTCGATTAGCTTTTGCCATAGAGTACATAGAGTCGTAATGTAAATGGGAGAGCTGGCGCCATGTTCTGCTCGACGAATTCCGAGCCCGGTGTGCGCCGAGTTCGGGTCGCTTTTTCGATACATTTTCGATCCAAAATGGCGGTGTGGAATACGTGGTAATTCCTATCTCCTTTGTTGTTGTTGTCAACGGATGGCCGGGTACCCGTGTATCGCAAACAATCGATTATGTATCGAAAAAGTGACCCGGCGTCACACAGGAGTCTCGGAATTCGGGCGACATGGAAAATGCTTAAAAGTGGCGCCAGCTCTCCCACTTACATTACGACTCTACATATTATGTACTCAATGGCTTTTGCCAAATGTAACGGAGCAATTTAATATTTTTTTGAGAGAACGTTTGTGTGGATTTCTTTAAAAATTTTAAGGAATTTACTTGGCACTGTAGGTACTTAGGCAGGTAATTCGCTCAAATTTGTACCAAAATCCACACAACCGTTTACATGTAGGAAATTATATTGTCCTATTAAAATTGCGACAAAAGCTGATGTGGCGTGGTTTCTTTCTGCTTAACTCGGTCTAAATATCGTTTACAGTCTTTTAGAACCATTCTACTTACCCAAGCAGCACAGATTGCAATCAATTGCAATTATATGGGAAAATTATTGCTTTTGTGAGTGTCGTGTATGTTGTATATTCACTGATTGAAGGGGTTTCTCTTATTGAAATTTATTTCAATAAATTTAAATTCAAATAAATTTTTTCTCACACATGGAACGCATTGCATCGATCGTTTGGGATCCGCACCTATTGACAAAATGGTGTAAAAACGTCGCAATTTTATGATTAAGAAATTGCGATTTTATTGCATTACATTGCAAAATTATTTCAATATTTTCGTTCCTCTTAGCGTGAAGCTGGTGTAGAGGACTCTTACTTTTACTATATACCCACCCAACTCTCTAAAATCCTTAAAAAAATTCTACTATACATTCCTATTCTTTCAAATCCTTCTTAGCTTCAAAATAACCTCCTCTGTCTATAGATGGCTGTAGATTCCTATCAAAATAATATAAAGGAATAGAAGCCACAAAACTCAAAACTCAAAACTCAAAAAAAAAAAAAAAAAAAAAAAAAAAAAAAAAAAAAAAAAAAAAAAAAAAATTCGTTTCTTTGTGCTACCTGGATACATCTCGTACATCGCAGACGCTCTCTAACTTCTCCTACATTTTACTTAATTTTTACGCTGGAAAGTAATTAAGCAACACGAAAACATGAACTTTTGTCAAAGTATTTTCCATAATATTTGGCAAATTCACAATTTAAAGGTATGTATAGTTTATCTCTGTCAAAAAAAAAAAAAAAAAAATATTAGAGAAAACTAGGCAACGTTGAATGCAGTTTCGAAAATTGGCAATATCGAATTGTGCGGCGTCATGTTTTTCAGCACAGCAATTAGGAGCCGGCTCTAAATTGCGGAGGGAAATTAGGGCAGTCTAAAACGAACGCACAGCCAAAAATAGACTATCCGCCTGTCCTGATCGTTCAAAGTCACGCGTATTTAAAGGGACAATGCTGCGATGGTCAACCTGATGGTGAGATTTTTTTTTCTTGCATAATCATTTTGGTAAGCTACAATTAGAATTTTAAAGGTTTCAGCGAGATTACCTATATTGGTGACTTTCGAGGAGGTGATTTTATGGAAAATCATCCGGTGCTTGCTTATGGACATGTTATTGCACGCTTCGAAGGTATAATTTCGCATGCGCAAATGAAGCGCCCTCGGACAGTATTACAAGCGACATGCTTTACGTAAGTCATTATAACTCCTGGATGCAACTATTCGGGCTCCATGGATGTCCGTGTTGCATACGCACGGATGTGAAGGCGCTTTGACTCTCCATGCACTTACTGCCTCGCCCGTAGCATGGCGACGCTGCGAACTGCTCTGCGAGGATCCATAAAAACAGAGCGCCTTCAACTCATAGTTTATGCTACAAAGATATTTCTCAGGCATGAAAAGTTGCACATACGCGTGAGCTTCGGTTTCGACATCGCGATGTGCTAAGCATGAGTAGCAGCGTTCTATTCGTGCTCCAAGAGATGTCTTTGTAGTATATACGAAGGGTTGAAGGCGCTCTGTCCTTTTGGATCCTAACAGTACTGCCCGCCGTCGCATCGCCGTGCCGCTGGTGGAGTGGTGAGCTGGCCGGAGAGTGAAAACGCCTTCACCTTGATACACACGTATGCAACACGGACATCCGTGGAGCTCGAATAGTCGTTGCATCCAGGCGTTACAACGATATTTGCTACGTTTTGTTCGGTGCATGCGACATTAAGGGCGCTTTTCTTGTCTCCACTCCTACTCCTACTTCTACAACTTCTTCGGCTATCGCTTTGTCTATCAATTTCAATAACCAGCCCGCAGGTTCCATTTTTGGCATCCTCAAAACGAGGTTTCTTTGTCATTAAAGGTTATGCCTATGAGTTTATCCTACTGGGTCGGATGAGACTTGTTTGGGACTTACCGTTGCTTCGGTGGTTTTAGGGGAGGTGGCGTTTGGTTTGGGGGTGACAGTGGGGCCGGCAGAGAGCGGGGGCTGGGGTTGGGGACTAGTGGCGGTGGCGGGGGTGGGTNGGGTGTGGGACTCCGGTTCATGGTGGGGGTGGTTGAGGTGGTCGGGGTGGTGCTGGTGGCCGGCTGCGGTTTCTCGTAGCGCTTGAGCGTGGACTCGTGTTGGTGCTGGTGGTTGTGGTTGTGGTTATGGGGGTGGTTGGGGCTGTGGTAGCTGGCCCAGGCGTGCTGGTCGTTCTGGTAGTCGGCCACGTCATTCGATTCGATCTCCGCCCGCAGCACCGAGATGTGACGCTCGTCCCCGTACATCCGCTTCATCAGCCCATGGTTCTCGAACACGAACCGCCGCACCGCGTGCCTGTAACATCCAACACACGAAGGAATAAAAAAATCTGCGACGTTACATCTGAGAGATCATGCGGAAAAATGTACGGAATATATTTGTGCTGACCCAATTAAACCTCACCTAATCTTTCTAGCGTATACGATGATCAAGCGATCGAATTATGGAGATGTTGAATGTGTGAGGAATTTGCAATTTGACTATTGATTCTCATGTTGAAGTTCGCGGGAAACACGATGGTACCACTGGTTTCCTCTGAAATCAACTCCCAAGCTCAAAAAAGCTCTCAAGAGAGCCCACCTATACATTAAGACAAACTCTCCATGCAAAGATAGGGAGCAAATACATTGACAGGGCTGCCACTTTATTTGGGGACTCTAAAACTGAAAACACGGCAACCCTGCCAACGTATTTGCTCCCTATCTCTGCGTGGAGAGTTTGTCTTGATGTAGAGGCGGACTCGCAGGATAGCGTGGGATATCCCCTCCATTTTGGCCTCAACTTGAGAGCTTTTTTAGAGCTTGGAAGTTGATTTCAGAGGAAACCAGTGGCACCATCGTGTTTCTCGCGAACTTATGCTTAAGAATCAATAGTCAAATCGCAAATTCTTCACACATGCAACATCTCCAGTCAACATTTTTATTCAGTGATTGGGGTCTCTATCCAACATAAAACGCCTGCAATGTATCGATTTTCAAATTTCCAACCATGAGATTAGCCCGCCCACCGGAATGAGTGCTAAAACGTTGTGAAAACGTCGCCCCTGTTTCAAAAGTATCGTCAATAAAACATCGAGACAAAGATTATGCAGACGATTTGCCGGGCGGGTGGTCATTGTAACCCGAAGATTAGGCCAATATAACCCAAAGAAAATAAATTAACAAAGAAATTTTAGCCGCTCGTTTGATTGTACCTTGTGTCTTTCGTCACTGAAAAAAATATGATAGGTTTCACGGTACTCGGACACACAGTGATCAGCTGAGTATGGGAATAAACACCAGGCTCTATGGTAGTATTTACCACATTATCGTCAGTATCGCCAGAGTTCTAATGAATACCACTAACCCTCTGGTTTTTTTCAACATAGGGTATCACCGTGTAAAAAAAAGAAGTATACTTACAGCAGATGTTACCATGCTTTTTTCCGTGATTCCTGTGTTAACACACAATTTCGGTTACTTTTTTTACGCGGGTTTTGCCGCAATTTAGTGTAACGAGTCTTTGGAAGAAGTCGAACATGAAATTTTGGACAAAAATTGTACAATTTTACTTTTATCTCGTCACAATTTTAATTTTAAGGGGCACTTCTAATGGAACATTTTACGAGAAAACCGATGAAATCACTTCTGAATCATCGCGACCTGTCATATTAATAAATATATGCGCTTTTAAAGCTTTTAAATCACGCCCGACCTCTCCCATTGATTCGATCCACTCTACCGTGCTGATGAAAAATGCCGTATGAATATTCGAGGGTTGCCAAATTTTCCTTGATGAAACATGTATTTTTGACAACATACATGCATATTTTCCCTTGAAATTTTCAGATATTTTAGATTATATTGCTTACAAAAATATCTGAAACTTTTGGAAATAATATTCACAATTTTCCCAGTAAATTCGGTTTTCATCGGAGGAAGCTTGGCAACGCTGCCGAGCTAAGGAAAAACGTCGTATGAACCTTCAGGCGTTGCCAAATTTCATTTGATAAAACGCTAATATTCTGGGAAACTCATGAATATTTTCGCTCAAATTTTTCAGGTAATTTTGTCCGCAATTTCACCTAAAGTTCCTGAAAATTTCAAGGAGAAATATTCATAACTTTCTTCAAAAATTAACATTTTATCGAGGGAAATTTGGCAACTCTCGAATGTTCATACGGCGTTCTTCCTTAGGACGGCAGCATTGCACGCAAGTCCGACAACGATGTGGAGGCGAGCGGAGTCCGGAGCACGGAGTCGAGAGGAAAACTGCCGCGCCAATCGAAGGAGGCAATTTCCCGGTGATCGACCTGATACTTTCACTGAGGCGTTTCACACTTTCGCTGCTCGGCCGTCGCGCGCGCGCGCCCGGCGTCGCGTCGACGTCGTCGTCGCGATGCCCCGCGGCGCATCGCATTCCGATTAATTGTTACGCGTCCCACGTAATAAATCCGCGNGGGGGGGGGGGGGGGGGGGGTCCATGCCCCGCGGCGCCGCCAACCGCGGATGATGCATTTCCGGATGCGCTCGGATCCGATGCAATTACGCGACCGGCTCCGGTGTTGAATCGGTGCATTTTCCTCGGGTTACGAGGCCCTCGCTCGTAAAATCCACCGAGACGCCGACAGGTGCTCTTAGTCGTATTTTGTTCAGCGGCAACGCTCGCAACATGTCGGGAAAACAAGCAACAATCGCATTTTGTTCGAAGTTGATTTGTGTTGTGGGGGCGGGGCTTATTTTCGCACGCAAAATTTGGGAGCCCCTACAGCGACATTGTTGTACAATAACTGCAACGTGCTAAGAGGCAAGTCGTCTTTGTGTTGTTGCCCAAGACAACGCTGTATTCTAACCTAAAATCAGAATTCGCTTTCTCATTGGTTGTTGGTCAGAATCACGCAAAAGAAACAAGAAAAAAAAAACGGAAACAATTTGTTGTTCCGAACAAAATACGACTCCCGTACCATAAAGGGAGGTGTCAATAGACTGATTTAGTGACTACGTCATTCGATATAATACTGAGCTCTTGGTTCAAATCATAGGCGTAGCTAGGTCATTTTGCTGGGGGGGCCTGGCCCCCCAATACCGGGGGGGTCTGGGGGGTATGAAATACCCCCCAGCCCAGGGGGGCCCGGGGGGGCCTCCCCCGGAAAATTTTTGAAATTTGAATTCTATTTGAGCGCATCTCGAGGCACTTGTGACGCTAATCTTCCTTCAATTTCTGTCTAAAAATCACCCAGTTTTATGCATTTTAAGATTAAAATACTTTGAAATTGTTGCTGTCAACAGGTTTTTCTATTTTTAGGCATCCTCTCACGGCCCACGGCGACGGATACTTACCGTTGAAGAAGGTGTTTTTGCACCATCCAGAATTTCTAGGGGAGGGGCAGATGATACTATTTCCAATTCTGGGGGGGCCAGGCCCCCCCTCCCCCTGGCCCCTCTTCCTACGCCTCTGGTTCAAACCTAAACAAACTAACATTGCCTCTTGTGCGAATTCTTCCTGAGTTAATCGTGTTAATTTATTAAAATTTAGTCATTGATCGGTCATAAATCAATCAAAGCCTCATTAAATACGAGAACTTTCGATTGTAAGAAACACCTGGACGCTTTTTACCACCATGGTGCAAAGGGCGACAATCAGGAACAAGGTTTTGTGTTTGTTTACATTGAATCAAGGGTTTGATATCATATCGAATGTCGTAGCCACTAAATCAGTCTATTGAGTGGCTTGGAGGCCGAGGTGCATAAGTGTCGTTTTTGCCATTTCGAGATATACGTGTTTTTTGTTTCGAAATGACATGGATCCTCATGACGAAAAGAAAGTTCAAACTGGCCTTTTGATGCTTAAGAGATGGGCATTTTCTGTTGAAATTGCCAACCGAAGGCCAGGATTATTTTATGTTTTACTTCCCATATTAACCAAACTTTCGTATTGGAATTTCTCGTCGTGTAAGTAGTATGAGAAACGTAAAGGGATTATTTTAGTAGAGACGCTCAGATTTGTAAGTGGTGGTTATAAAATGGGTGGGTTTTCGCCGGGCACTCTCAAGTGAACTTTGCCATCAAACCTTTCTCTCGAGAATCTAGTCAATCTTGATTCAAATAATTCTGCGGAGACTTTGACGCCTGGATAGAAAAAAACGCTCGCTCAGAATATCTTGATGATGAGGAGGATTCGACTCAAGATCAAAGAGTTGAGCAATTTTCTTGGCAACCCTAACCGGATTTGCAAAACCGCGTAGCAAAAAGCGCACCTGGACATTCATCAGTAATCATTGGGTGACTTTGATTTAATGTTTTGCCTATCGATTATCATCAGGCGAAAAGCAGCGTCAACCTCTTAACTTTGCGTGATCCAAAACCTTCGAGGTGCCTGTTTATCTAAAACGCTAAATTAGGTTTCAAACATGAAGCAACGACAACTTTTGCCTCACCCATTGCTTAGATTCTAGATTCTAGATTTTAGATTTTAGATTTTAGATTTTAGATTTTAGATTTTAGATTTTAGATTTTAGATTTTAGATTTTAGATTTTAGATTTTAGATTTTAGATTTTAGATTTTAGATTTTAGATTCTAGATTAATGCAGGGCCTCTAATACATGCATTATCTCTACGGTCACTAGAGGACTATAACTTGTGATTCGCTCAGCCTGAGCACCTGTATGAGGAGAGTATATGCACTGAAAAAAAATTCTCGGCGTTTTTACCAAGGTCCGTTGGTACCTTTACCATCTCACTTTTTTTTACCAATTATTGGTAATTTTACCAAGACAGACTGATAAGCTTACCTAAAAACCGGTATTTTTACTGTTTTTTTCAGGTAAGAATACCACTTTTATTGGTAATCAATTCCCGGTAACTTCGCCATTTTATCTCGGTAATTCTAACATAGTCGATAAACAATATTGGCGTTTTTACCAAGGTCCAGTAAAATTACCGAGAAAGGTCAATAATTTTACCGAGAAATCTCGGTAAAATTACCAATTCCATAAATGGTAATTTTACCAAGAAAAAACTGTGATCAAATAGAGCCCTGAATTCTTGGTAATTTTACCCTTTCCTTAGTAAATACACCGAGATGTTTTTTTTTCAGTGTGGCGATTCCGCGATGGCCGTTCGCACCTATTTAGCTCAGGAAAGTTGTCCACATTTTGGTTGGTCTACGAGTCTATGGTTCTTAAATGAGGTTTTATGGTCGTTAATAAATAAACACTCCTATTCTGCCATTCCAAGGAAACACGCCGTATGAGCCTTTGAGCGCTGTCAAATTTCCTTGTATAAAATACGAATTTACACGGAAATTTACGAGGATTTTTCTTCCAATTTTTCAGAGATTTTCATTTGCAACCAGATGTAAAGTCTCTGAAAATCTCGAGAGAAAATAATCACAACTCTTCTCAAAAATCAACATTTTATCGAAGGAAATCTGGCAACTCTCGAATGTTCATGCGGCGTTTTTCCTTAGCTCGGCAGTATTCATCATTATACGTCAGAGAGTTTATGCTACCCCTCTCACGGGAAAAGACCCCTACAACACTGAAAAAAAATCTCGGTGTATTTAATAAGAAAAGGGTAAAATTACCAAGAATTCAGGGTTCTATTTGATCCCAGTTTTATCTTGGTAAAATTACCATTTATGGAATTGGTAAGTTTACGAAGAAATCTCGGTAAAATCACTGAGCTTTCTCTGTAATTTTACTGGACCTTGGTAAAAACATCAATATTTTTTATCGGCTGTGGTAGAATTACCGAGATAAAATGGCGAAGTTACCGGGAATTGATTACCAATAAAAGTGGTATTCTCACCTGAAAAAAAACAGTAAAAATACCGGTTTTAGGTAAGCTTATCAGTCTGTCTTGGTAAAAAAAGTGAGATGGTAAAGGTACCAACGGACCTTGGTAAAAACGCCGAGAATTTTTTTTCAGTGAATAACCAATCCTCCACGTAATGCTCTACGTAAAATTTTAATGATGGAACACGTTTTGTGATAGTTGGTCTCTAACTCTGCCCAGTTGTGTTTACGAAATTCAATTGTAATTTTGACCGATAGCGGCTTTCATTTTGATTGATTTCTGCATAAGGTAATTTATAGTTTTCTACATTTAATTCATAGTTTGTTTTTCAGGAAGATCAATTAGGTACCAAGGGGTATGCTTGACGCTAATTGAGGGGAGGGGGGGGGGCTGAGAGAAAAATACTCACCATGGATATGCGGATCCTGGGACAGTGCACCAATTTTGATTTTTGAAATCACAAGGGACGTCAGCTCGACTTTTCGAGGTCCTGAAAGGCTTGGAACACGCAGTATAGCCATCGAAACCATAGCAGTACACCACCGGAGCCAAACTGATTGGCAGCTGAAACAAAGAGTAGACACGTGTGCATTATTTACAGACCGTCAAGAAATACACCATGCTCGCCATCGTGAGCAAACAAGAAAAAAAGGAGGCGAAAAATGGAATAACTGGGTAACGCATTGTCGCGGATAGGGAATAAGTTTGTGTTAAGGCGGACTGAAAACGCCTCAATTTCCTATCCGTGGTGGAAGTTGGGAGAGCAGAATAAAAATACGATGTTGTGGGGTGACGCAGGACTCGCTTGTATTAATGGAATCGTTACATTAATATAGATACAAGGACATGACTTTCAGGAGCACTAAGGACGGCTGTGCAAGATGGTCAAAACCGAAGTGAGTCAACTCTTCGTCTTCAAATTCGAGCTTAGTCCCGAGAGAGCTTTATAAATCAATCCATCTCGTGACGCTGGTGATAAAAAATATAATAAAGATAGATGCGTTCGACTGATCACAGCAACGAGTAAGTGAAGCTTGCTCGATGCTGGGTTTTGAAAATTCATAGAGAGAGACCGAAAATATGGGAGAAAGGGAGATAGAGAACCTCTATGAATAAATGCGTTGCGGTATACGCGACACGCATAATTAAGTGGACATATGTGAACAAAATACGTTCGTTTACACTGAAATTTTCGAGAAAATACGCACGTGCTACAAGGCCGGATTAAGGGGGTGGCCACATGGGCCGCGGCCCATGGCGGCAAATCTATGGGGCGGCAAAAATTTGCAATTTTTTAAAGTGTAGGTATAAAAAAAAATATCGGATTTATGAAAACAAAATTACAAACGAGAAAAGGCGACAAAATCTCTCATTTCCTGAGAGTATAGTAATTTCTAATTTTGTCGTCTCTTGGTGATACAAGAGACAGCACCTTCAATAAGTCGATTTAAGAGAGAGACCAAACTCGCAATTTGGCCTGGAACGGCGCGACATAGAGAGAAATGATAACGAGGACTTGTAATGAAAAGGAGGAGCCCTCGGCGCGGCGATCGGCATGTAACACATATTAGCGCCTACAAGACTGCACGAATACCTCACGCATTGCATCAAACACATTGCGGTAATTGCGGTCAGCGCGAAACGGATAGCGCCTACAAGAATGCATGAATACTTCACTCATTGCGCCAAAGACAGTACGGTCATCGTGAAACGCATAGCGCCTACAAGACTGCATGAATACTTCAAGCGTTGCGTCCAACACAGTGCGTTCAGCAGCGGTCCGCGTGAAACGCATATCGCCTACAAGACTGTCGGAATACTTCACGCATTGCGCCAAACACGGTGCGGTCTGCGCGGCGCGGCGGCGGAAGTTAAAATCATTGATCCACATTTATGTTTGTTCTTTCATAATTTTTTCGTTCATTTCTTATGAATGGAAGGCCTTGTCCACACAGAGATAGGTTTACGGAGCTTAACTTTTGCACAAAGTTCCGTGAGCTTTTGCGAGTAATGTTGACAGGGCTTTCTCAAAAAATGTGTTCAACACGAGTAAATGCGTCTTATGCACCCCTCCCCTGCTGACACGTTCATTTGATGTTTTTTATCGAGTTTCAAAACGAATGAGAAGGGGGTGGCAAAATACAGGCGGCCCATGGGCGGCAAGTAGGTGAATCCGGCCATGACGTACTATAGTTGCTTAGGCCAGAGGCTGAATTTTGTCGGCTTTTTCACACGGAGTGCAACAGCCATCGATGAGTTCAAACCGCACCAGCTGCCAATCAAAAGCGCTGAGCCGAACTTAAGTGCAGTCGATACCCGTCCTAAGATTTTAAGTACGGTGGAATAACCGACAAAATTCGGCCCCTGCCGATGACCGAGGACAAAAAGTGTGTATCTGCAATTCTACGTGAAGTAAATTCTTTAAAAATTGCTGCAGAAACTTTCATGCCTCACGGACGCAGCTTTTACCGGGCCAGGGTGGACTTACACTAACCCTCTCCCTACGGTTTGAAATATTATTAAGCCTCCCCCCTTCTCCTATGAACATCTTTACAATGAAAAATATGGGCAGACCTAGTAAACTTCTTCACTCAACTGCAAATTTGATAGGGGAAAAGAATAAGTTTGAGATGTTTTTTGAGGTCTATTGCTGGCACGTCAAGTTTTCATGAGGCTTTTGAGTGATGAGAATATCCTCAAAATGGATCTAAAGAAGATCGATTTTCCGAAATTGTCTGGGGGAGTCCTTCCGAAATACATTTAATATATTGAAGACTCAAACCTACTGTCAACATGGTGGCAAGCAGATTACTCCTGGGAAACTACTCTAAGTCATGCCATACCTTGTTCAACCTACGTACCTGGTACTCAAATATAGTGCGGGCCGAGTAACACTCTATCTTAGTATCCTTGATAATCATTTCGTGTACTTTGATATAGTACATCGAATTTCCCAAATTCTCTATCAGATCGAATAAGGCGATAGTGAGGAGTAAATTTGCGATTTAAAAAAAGAACCCTCCTTCCGCCCCTCACAGAAATAGACTTATATCAGCAAGACTAGACTCATGAAGTGTGAAATGACCACATTATGACAAAGTCTCGTAATTTACTTCTGACATGCTGACCAAATTCTTAAGACAAACTTTTGCAAGAAATGAGGGGTATCGAAAAGGGCCTTTTTTGGCCCCCTAGAGCACATTATCTAAGTAAAACCAAACCAGGGTTAAAATGTGTCCTAAAGCCTCCTTGATAACATATCAAAAGTTCGTTTTAGTTAGAAGATGTGCTCGGTGTCAAAAAAGCCTCGGAGTGATGGATAAACACCGCATTTTTCGCTAAATGCGCCTGCAAACCTATGTTCAGGCAACCGTTAAACACGTATCCAGTGGACTATGGATACCAAATCATGATTCTTTCCGTAAACTACATTGAGTCAACTTGGAAAACCCGCACAAATTTCCAGATTCTAGGGGGAGAGGAGGGGGAAAAAAGCCCCTTATCGATAACCCTCCTTTTTTGATAGCACTGGTTAGGTTCAGTCTGAATCAGGTCAGGTCACCAGAATCACGACCTGCCTTACTGGGAACCGACTGAAGATGGTGGATGATTGCGGCATTTGGATGGATGTACCTCTCCCTCTCCCGCCACTCTCCGGTTGGGCGGAGCCTCTCTGAGGAGGAAACGCGATAATCTCGGCGGGTCCCGTGAGCAGACCAAGTTCAAAGTTGAGGACGTGATAATGCGCGAAAGTTCAAGATTGTGCGAATTAAATCTAGAATTTTCGCGCAGAGGCTTCAACTATACCTTCCGTGGGCATGATACGGACGTGGCTAGGAGCAATTTCTTAGGGGTGATCTGGCTCTGTTTTATACAGGAGGGGTAAGGGTCTTACTCCCGGTAAAAAAAGGGATTTTGGGAGGTCAGTGCATTGGTGTTTAAAAGCTTAAAAAAGTATTTAAAAAAACCAGAAGAAGCTTAGAATAATTGTCAGTTAAGGACTAGGAAAAACAGGTAAATGCCAACTTATTTAGTTCATTTCTTTTAATACATACATCTGATGTTTGTTTTTTACTCTATGGTACCCTCGTGCGAGGAGGAGGTCAAGTTGCCGAAAAAGGCCGGGCCGGTGGGATCGCGGCGCGGCGCGTTGACTCGCCGGCAACTTTTGTAGCTGCGTCGTCGCCGCGCTGCGCTGGGCCGGACTGGGCACGCGATGAGCACAGCGGCTCATTGGTCATTGGTCACCGCGAGGGGTCACGTAGCGGCCGGCCGCGGTGCTAGCGCCAAGTGCCGTACCGCCGCGCCGCGCCGCGCCGCTCCAGACAGCACGACCAGTGCTCTCGCTGTTGCCATCGTCACGCTCTCCGAAACGAAGTGTGACCACGAGGAGGACCGGGAGAAGTGCTGGAAGATGCATGACGTCAATCATCGTGACTATGGATGCCAGGTTCTCTTCCGCATTGGTGCTGTCAACGATGCAAGTGGAGCGATCAGTGCTTTTATTCGTCATTAACCGGCGAGACCAAAGGTGGAACATATGAAGAGCTCGGAGGACAAGGCGCATTAGTGCATTTTTTGAAAAATTGGGGTATCAATGATTTCAAGTGAAATTTGTCTTTATGTATATTCTGTGAAAAATTCCCTCCAAAATAAGCATCAAAGAATATATTAAGAAACTTGCTTCTCGATATGAAACTAGACAAAAAAAAGCCTCAAAGGGTCAGTTTGAACTTTCTTTCCGCTATGAGGATCCATGTAATTTCAAAACTTTAAAAATCTATTTCTCAAAAATAGCAGAAACTGCACTTATGCGCCTTGTCCTCCAAGCCCCTCATATAAGGTTAACCATTTGATCAGTCCGTTTGATAATTTCATTCAGAACGTCTCGTTTTCAGATGACGATGTCTTATGGACGGTTTTAGTAGAAAGTAACTAATCAGTCACATTAAGATGGACGGAACAAGAGAGGCTTGAAGTTAAATTCCTCCACAACAAAAGCGTAGCCAGGATATTGTATCGGGAAGGGGGTGCTTCAGGGTGACCAAGGGGTGGTTTCCATCAAGGACGGGGGAAAATTTGAGCTCTCCTCCCCCTCGCGGCAACGTGCTTATTACGTAAAACTCAGCGTTGGACATAAAATTCGACCCTTAATTTCATCTATGAGTATATCAACAAATATTTTCTTCTCGACTTCGAAATTTTGCCATGAGAATCTGAGCGGCAAAGCGTCAGGTCATCAGGTGTACTCTCAGCTCAACCCGTCCCTCCGAATGTGACTTGGTTCCAATTTTTTAAATTTTTAGTCCATCTGACAACGGTGAATTAGGGGGTGAAGCTACGAGAAACGACCGAGAGAGCAAAAGGCGGGAGAACCCACCCCAAACCACAGACCGATAGACCTCGATTCCTAATGTGAGATATTTCCCAGCACCGACAGAATTTCCCCTGCAGTTAAGACCAGCGGGCTGATTATTGAAACTGATAGACAAAGCTATAGACAAAGACGAAAAAAGTGATTTGGAGGGATCCTATTGGTGGAAGCGGGTGGTGGCAATGGACAT